ACAAAAGTAAATCTTAAACAAACAAACAAACAATAAAGCAGAGTTCTTTATACATCTTCAGATACTTACTAGATCCTATCAAAGCTATGATTTGCAAGCATTTTTTCCTATTCTGTGGTTGTTTTTGCATTTATTTAAAACATTTAAGCTTATTTGAAAGGCAGTTTTTAAAAAGATTTGTTTATTTTTATTGGAAAGGAGGACATTCACAGAGGATGAGAGACAAAGAGGAAGAACTTCCATCCAATGGTTCACTCCCCAAGCAGCCGCAATGGCTAGAGCTGAGCCAATCCAAAGGCAGGAGTCAGGAGCTTCCTCCTTCCCAGTCTCCCACGTGGGTGCAGAGTCCCAAAGCTTTGGGCCACCCTCAACTGCACTCCCAGGCCCCAGGCAGGAAGCTGGATGGGAAGCGGGGCTGCCGGGATTAGAACGGCACCCATATGGGATCCTGTTGCGTTCAAGGTGAGGACCTTAACCACTATGCTATCGTGCTGGGCCCTGAAATGCATATTTTTTTTAAAGATTTATTATTATTATTTTTTTATTGGAAAGGCGGATATACAGAGAGGAGAGACAGAGAGGAAGATCTTCCGTCCAATGGTTCACTCCCCAAGTGAGCGCAACGGGCCGATGCTATGCCGATCCGAAGCCAGGAGCCTCTTCCAGGTCTCCCATGCGGGTGCAGGTTCCCAAAGCTTTGGGCTGTCCTCGACTGCTTTCCCAGGCCACAGGCAGGGAGCTGGAAGGGAAGCGGGGCTGCCGGGATTAGAACCGGCGCCCATATGGGATCCCGGGCGTGCAAGGCGAGGACCTTTAACCACTTGCGCCACCGCGCCGGGCCCTGAAATGCATATTTTTTACAGAAAGGAGAGACAGAGAAAGATCTTCCATTTGTTGCTTCATTCCCCACATGGCCACTATGACCAGAGCTGAGCTGATTTGAAGCCAGGAGCCTGGAGCTTCTTCCAGGTCTCCCATATGGGTGTAAGGTCCCAAAGATTTACGCTATTTTCCACTGCTCTCCCAGACAATAAGCCACAAGCAGTAGAGCAGCCAGGACAGTGCCCATATGGGATGCTGGCACTTGAAGGTGGAGCATTAGCCTTTTCAGCCATGGTGCCAGCCCCAAAACAAGCAAATTGTTTTTTAAAAAGAAAGAAGCCAACTCAACTGCATCCAACTCAGATTTTCAGCTCAGATTTTAAAAATGTACTTATTATTTTATAGGCTGAATTGGGGGCATGGGAGGAGTGAGAGAACATCTTTCATCTCTGTTCACTGCCACACGCGCTCAACAACCTGGGCTGATCCAAGCTGAAAGTAGGTGCTGGCAACTCCACACAGGTCTCTTACATGGATGGCAAGGACTGAAGCACTTGAGACATCTCTTGTTATCTCCCAGGAAGCTGGATTACAAATGGATTAGCTGAGACCTTGACTCAGCCACTCCAACATGAGATGTATGGGTATTCCAAATGGAGACTTAATTTGCTATGCTGCAATGCCTCCCTCCCTTGGCTATTCTAACTTCCTGCTAATGCAAACCTTGGTAGGCAGAAAGTAATGACTCAGGTGCTTTGGTCCCTGTCATCAACATAGGAGACCCAGAAGAAGTTCTTGGCTTCAGATCATCTCAGTTCCAGCCATTGTAGCCATTTGGGGAAAATGCAGATGAAAATCTTTCTCTCTGTCTCTCCTTCTCACTGCAATTCTGCTTTTCCAATAAAAATAAAATAAATCCTAAGAAAAAAAACCCTACCCTATGTTATGAAGTCTATGGGAAAATATAATTAAAATATAAATTTATCTTTCTAAATATTTAATTTATTTATGAAGGCAGAATTACAGAAAGAGAGAGAAAGATACCTTTTATCCATCGTTCACTTCCCAAATGGTTGCAACAGCCAGAGCTGGGTTGGCCCGAAGGCAGTAGCTAGGTGCTTTTTCCAGTTCTCCCACATATTTTATTTATTTGAAAGGCAGAGACAGATCCATTTGTTACACTACTCTCTGAATGGCTGCAACAGCCAGCCATGGACTAAATGGAAGGCAGAAGCCTGGCGCTCCATCTAGGTCTTCCACGTGGGTGTGAGGGCCCAAACACTTGTGTCATCCTCCACTGCTTTCCAAGATGCATTGTCAGGGAGCTGGATCAGAGGCAGAGCAGTGGTTTAGGCGGCTATGCCACAACGGCGACTCCAGTAAGACTCCTACACAGAGGCTCCAGGGCTTCACTGCAGCCACTCACATTCGCATGAACTTCGTGCCTCCTTACATCCAGGGGATCCATGAGCTTCCTCAATACAGCTTCTGTGAAGGGTTTTTGGAAAATGCTTGTCTCACAACTTTCACACTTATTTAGAGCTCACAGGCTTTGCAGGCCCTCAGAGACTGGCAGTGGTGTGCAGCTCACTGCTTTGGTTGCTGGACTCCCTCTGATGTTGTGCCAAAAACTATTCTTTTTGAGAAATAAACTTGGGATTGGCACCAGGGTGTGGGAAGCTAATCCTCATTTAGGCAACATTTGGAGTCCCAATGCTCTGCTTCCAATCAAGCTCCCTGCTCACGGCCTGGGAAGGCAGCAGAAGATGGCTCAAGTGCTTGGCACGCTTGGGGAGTGAATCATTGGACGGAAGATCTTTCTCTCTGTCTCTCCTCCTCTCTGTATATCTGACTTTGAAATAAAAATGAATAAATCTTTTTTAAAAAATATTTTTTAAAAGTTTTTTTTTAAGTAGTGAAAAAAGAAACACTTTATTCAACAATGTTAATAACCTCATAGCAAAGTGTACAAAAATGCATCCTTCATGGTTTTAGTTGCTGGGCAATAACATTTTAAAAAGATTTATTTATAATTATTATTTTTTAAAGATTTATTTTATTTTATTACAAAGATATACAGAGAGAAGGAGAGAGAAAGATCTTCCGTCTGATGATTGTGAACGCAATGGCTAGTGCTGCGCTGATCTGAAGCCAGGAGCCAGGAGCCTCCTCCGGGTCTCCCATGCAGGTGCAGGGTCCCAAAGCTTTGGGCCGTCCTAGACTGCCTTCCCAGGCCACAAGCAGGGAACTGGATGGGAAGCAGGGCTGATGGGAAGAATCAGTGCTATACTGGATCCTGGAGCTGGCAAGCTCAGGATTTTAGCTGCTAGGCTATCGCGCCGGATGCAACAATAACTTTTTTGTTAAATAAAACAGCTGAGATTTTCTTATTGTGTTAATTCAGGTCTACTATCACCTTGCCAAAAAAATGTATGAATGTATGTACTGAATAGCAAATGAAGATTCCAGAGACCACAGACTCTGCCAGGGAGGGATCCTGGGAGAAGTGGGGACTTTGAACACTACAGAGCAGGCCAAGGGCACATGTCAAATGTTCTCCCTAAATATGTGCGAACTGAATGAGTCAGGGGGAATGTAGGTGCTGGGTATCACCTGCCCTCCTGAGAACCAAGCAGCATTTCCTGGAAAAACAAGAGGTGCACACGATTTGGACGCTGATGTAAGACACAAAGAGTTGCAGTTCCCCACTTGGCACCCACCCCAGTGCCTTGCCGCCCACAGGAAGTGATGCTCCTGAGTGTGAGTCAGGTGCTTCCTTCCAGGAACTCTGTGTGCCCTTCACAATGCAGATTCTCCTGGCTGCTGGTGGAGCTGGACACACATCCCATTAAACACCCCCATGAGCTGTTATTGCTCCTATTGCGTTAGTGAAAATCAGGAGTTTAAAAGGCATTAGGTAATTTACTGCCAGCCCAATCACCCATAAATGGTGGAGCCAGGGGCCAAACCCTGCCCCTCTCACGGACACAGTCCTTCAGTGTTCAACGCTGCAGGAACGCAGACAAACCATTGAATTGTACTGGGGGGGGGGGGGGGGAATATTTCATGGAGATTATTCAAAACACAAGGGGAGACAAACATTCCTAGCTTTCTATTCATGTGGACCCTGGAAGGCCGCAGGAGGAGGCCACCACCCACTCAGGAGACCTGGATGGAGTTTCTGGCTTCTGGCTTTGGCCTGGATGTTGCAGCATTTGTGTGTGAACCAGCACAGGGTGCTGTGTGTGTGTGTGTGTGTTGTGTATCTTTCTTTCAAATGAATAAGAAAAAATAAGTAATTTTTTAAAAGACACGAAGTAGCAACTTGGCAGCGCCTGCTCATCTCCCTGACTCCAGCAAGATGACCACCTCCGCGTCACAGGTGAGGCAAGAGGCTCAGGGATGCAGTCTGGTCGTGACGGTCTCTCACTCCCATGAAATCGCATTTGATGTGGTTCATGTAGCAACACCACGGCCACGCCCCTTTCAGGGCCACAGGGGCTATGCCTGGACGGACATCTCTTCCCAGTTTGTGGACTACTTTACAAACTTCCCTGTCCCGAGAGAAAGGAAGAACACTTCCCACAGTGCACAGCAGGTGCTCGACCCCGCCCTCCCTCCGCCGGGCCCTCCCTCCTGGCCCGCCCCCCGGCCCCGCCATCCCTTCCTGCTCCCACCCTCTTGGAAGGTCTCAGGTCGCCACCTCTTGCATCGCTTTCGCCTTTGGTGCCTGCCAGGATACCTCTCTACCTCCCCGTGCGCACCTGTTACCGATTCCGTCCTTATCTGTAATATTTGTATTATTGTCTGACTCCAAAGTCTTGTGCGATTGTTTAGGGCAAAGGCCGTGTGTCTCGAACATCTCGGCAACTTGAGTATTTTGAACTCGGAGACTCCTTGCATTATTATCACTCCTATCATTACCACGTAGAAATGTTTTCAAGCAGGAGATATACCCGCCACCACCCTCAGATTCTAGGGTTTGACAGCTTCTGCCCAATTCTCACGCCAACCTTTTTTATAGGTCCTTCTCCCACGCTGTCATCCCCATTCATTTATCCGAATTCCACGGAATATACAACTACCAGTACCCGGAAGAATTTGCCCTTCACAAGTATGGCTGCCAATGGCCTCACTTCCCTGTATCACGTGATCCACCCACGGTTATCACATGACACGCCTACCTCCTTTTGGTGCCGGAATGAGCCCGGGAGGCGAATTCCATGGCTGTAGCCAGGGTTGATAGCTGCATCTTTGTTTTCATTCAGCGGCTCCTCCATCTCTCCGAGATTCTGGTATCTTTGCAGCTTTTTCCTTATCCGGTGACCCCAAGGTGATGGAGTTTTCCCAGCCTTACAGAAAGGTAACTGGGCTGGGGTCCCCATGGTCTTGTCCTGCTGCTAATGCTGGGATCTTGACCATCCCGGGCTTTGGAATTCAATGAACAGATTCTTTGAACCCTAATTGTCGTGGCAAATTGAGCAAGGTCCAGATGGAGGGATTGTGGGGTCCAGGTTGAAGTGTGTTAAGTTCCAGGTCCCAGATTGGGGTGCGAGAGCTGCAGGGGGAGTGTGTGCCCAGGTGTCTTCTGGCCTTATACCCTCCCTGTTGCGGGGAGGCAACTGGGCTGGGGCACCCGTAGGCAGGAGAGTGGTGGAAGGGTGGAGGGCCTGCCTTCTAACCACTCCTCATTCTGGTTTCAGGCAGGTGCCAAGCACAGGGGCAGGGTAGCCGGCATGGCTGCCAGCCTCCCAGTCTTGCTTCTCCTTCAGGCATTGTCATGGGCATCAGGTAAATGATGGGGAGGGGAAAGCTGGCCATCTTGTCTTTTGCCTGCCAGTCTTCAAGTGTGTCGCTGGGGGACTTTTTGTAGCTGTCCCGTGAACCCTGTTGAGCGATTTTAAGATCAGCCTGGTGAAGGTGATGTAGTGGAAGGGGGATTTTGAAGCCCATGTTCTATCTGCCTGACCAGGGTTGTCCATTCTGCTCACCCTCTCACTCTTGGGTCCTCACCTCTGCTCTTCCTCTTTCTCCTCCCTCCTAGGTGCTCGTCCCTGTATCCCTAAAAGTTTTGGCTACAGCTCCGTGGTCTGTGTCTGCAATGCCACATACTGTGACTCCCTCGACCCCCTGACTTTTCCTGCCCTTGGCACCTTCAGCCGCTATGAGAGCACACGCAGCGGGCGAAGGATGGAGCTGAGTACTGGGAGCTTCCAGGCCAACCGCACGGGTGCAGGTGACTGCGACGCCTCACCTTGCCCCTAAGCCAGGCTACAGGCTGGGCCCTCTTAGAGCCAAGTCCTGCTGGTGCCACACCATGAGTTTTAGCCCTGGACACTGACACCCTTCATTCCCTGTGGCTGTCCCCAGGGCTGCTCCTGACCCTGCAGCCAGAGGAAAAATTCCAGAAAGTGAAGGGGTTTGGAGGGGCCATGACAGACGCAGCCGCCCTCAACATCCTTGCTCTGTCACCTTCTGCCCAGGACCTGCTTCTGAAATCCTACTTCTCTAAAGAAGGTGAGGAAAAGGGGCCCAAAGTGACATAGACCTAGCCAGCTGTTTTTGTTTGGTTGTTTTTTTTTTTTTAACCTTTCCTTAGACCCTGACATTGGGTCCTCCATTAATGGACAGTGACACAATGAGGCCCTGGTGATCTGCTAACTGCCTGGGGACTCGGGCTTCCCAGAGCCTGTGCTTCACCCAGGTGCTGGCCCATCCCAGGAGTCACACTCCCTTTGAGCCCTGTCTCAGGCACTACTAAGGACTGGCAAGCAATACGCTCTGTTCCCCCCGCTTTGTCCTCCCTTTCTGCAGGAATTGAATACAATATTATCCGGGTGCCCATGGCCAGCTGTGACTTCTCCATCCGCACCAATACCTATGCCGACACCCCCGAGGACTTCCAATTGCATAACTTCAGCCTCTTGGAAGAAGACACCAAGCTCAAGGTGGGCACTCTGGCTGCCTCAGGGTCTCAGGGCATCCATGTATGGGAGGACAGACAGCTTTCAGACTGTGGCAGTCTCTAGAGAAACCTAGAACCTGCCCCCCTGTTCTGTGTTTTGTCCTGAGGGTGGGAGGTGGTGAGCTGATGGCTGGACCTGATGTGCTGGTTGGGCTAGTCTGCCTGTGTGCCAGCTCAGGGTGTCTCTCTCCTCCCTACCTCTGTCTCCAGATCCCCCTGATTCACCGAGCCCTGAAGATGGCCGAGCGCCATGTCTCGCTCTTTGCCAGCCCCTGGACTTCACCTACGTGGCTCAAGACCAATGGGGCAGTGAATGGGAAAGGGACACTCAAAGGTCAACCAGGGAATATCTACCATCAGACCTGGGCCAGATACTTTGTGAAGTAAGGGATCAACAAGTCCTGGTGGCCTGCACCAGCCTCCCCTTTTGGGACATCTTGTTCTATGTCCCAAGTCCTCAACCTGCTTACCCCAGCTCACCTATTCACCTCCTGGGTCTTGGCCTCCTATTTGCCTTACTCCATCAGGTCTCCTACTGCCCAGGGACCTTGGTCATTGCAAAGTCAGATATACAGAGAGAGGAAGAGAGACAGAGAGGAAGCTCTTCTGTCTGATTATTCACTCTCCTAGTGACCACAATGGTCAGTGCTGAGCCGATCCAAAGCCAGGAGCTCTTCCATGTTTCTCATGCAGGTGCAGGGTCCTAAAGCTTTGGGCCGTCCTCGACTGCTTTCCCAGGCCACAAAGAGGGAGCTGGATGGGAAGCAGGGCTGCTGGAATTAGAACCTGCACCCTGCACCCATATGGGATGCCGGTGCATTCAAGGCGAGAACTTTAACTGCTAGGCCACCACGCTGGCCCTTGGTCTCCTTTCTTTCTTTCTTTTTTTTAAATTAATTTATTTTTATTGCAAAGTCAAATATACATAGAGAGGAGGAGAGACAGAGAGGAAGATCTTCTGTCAAGTGATTTACTCCTCAAGTGACCGCAACTGCCTGTGCTATGCCGATCCGAAGTCAGGAGCCAGGAACTTCCTCCAGGTCTGCCAGGCGGGTGCAGGGTCCCAAGGCTTTGGGCTGTCCTCTACTGCTTTCCCAGGCCACAGGCAGGGAGCTGGATGGGAAGCGGGGCTGCCAGGATTAGAACCAGTGCCCATATGGGATCCTGACGTGTTCAAGGCGAGGACTTTAGACTCTAGGCCACAGAGCTGGGCCCGGTTTCCTTTCTTGATCCTGCTCACTCATGCCCTTCCTCCTACCAGGTTCTTGGATGCCTATGCTGAGAATAAATTACAGTTCTGGGCAGTGACAGCCGAGAATGAGCCTTCAGCAGGGATGATCAGTGGGTACCCCTTCCAATGCCTGGGCTTTACCGCTGAACACCAGCGAGATTTCATCGCTCGTGACCTGGGTCCTGCCCTTGCCAACAGTAGTCATAAAGATGTCCGCTTGCTGATATTGGATGACCAGCGTTTGCTGCTGCCCCGCTGGGCACAGGTGGTAAGGGCCAGGACCTCAGTGCCCCAGTGACTCCCTCAATATCCAGCCTCCAACTGACCAACTGACTACCAAACTCAACAGTATTTCCCTGCCTTATTTTTTCCCCAGTTTTCTTTCAGTCATTGGAGAGAGAAAGAGAGTAAGATACACACACACACTCACACACATACAGAGGGTGAGATAGGAAGCGAGTGCATGCTTGTCCACTTACCAGTTCACTCCCAAATCCTGGAGCAGAGAGCAAGGAACTCAATTTGGGTCTCCCAGTAGCAGGAACCCAGTTATTTGAGCCATTACTACTGCCTGCCAGGGTATACACTGACAGACAGCTGGAACTGGGAGCTGCAGCTGGGCACTGAATGCAGGCACTGTGATGTAGGACACAGCTTCGTCAGCAGGCCAATGCCTGTCCCTGCCACAGCTCTTGATTCATTTGTCTTTTTTTTTTTTTTTTTTGAAAGGCAGAGATGTCACATCAGCTGGTTCACCTCCCCAAAGCCTGCCATAGCTATGGGTGGGTCAGGCTGAAGCCAGGAGTTGGGAACTTAGTCTGGGTCTTCCCATGAGAGTGACAGGGGCCCCACCACTTGAACAATCATCTGTGTTCTCGCAAGGTACATGCCAACAGGAAACTGAAATCGGGACTGGATCTAGGACTGAAACTGGGCACTGCCTTCTGGGATCCCGGTGTCCTGGGCAGTACCAGGTGCTTGGAGCACCCAGGGCTAGATTCAGGTACCCAGGCCACCACACCCTCTGGACCTCCAGGGTCCCACAGAGTCCCATGGCTGCTGTGAACCTAGCCCTCCTCTGCCCCCAGTTGCTTGCCATCTCATTACCCATTTCTTGCGATTCCCAGTTCCCCTTCCAGAACCTTCTGTGTGGCACTTGGGGTCAGTGGGTCTCCTTTTCTGTGCAGGTACTCACAGACCCAGAGGCAGCTAAGTACGTTCATGGCATCGCTGTACACTGGTACCTGGACTTTCTGGCTCCAGCGAAAGCTACCCTAGGGGCGACACACCGCTTATTCCCCAACATTACCCTCTTCGCCTCAGAGGCCTGTGTGGGCTCCAAGTTCTGGGAACAGAGTGTGCGGCTGGGCTCCTGGGACCGCGGGATGCAGTACAGCCACAGCATCATCACGGTGAGCCAAGCCCTGTCTCCCCACATGACAGGCCACCCAGATCGTCCTGTCTTACCAAGGGCTGACAGGTGGTCTTCCCAAGGCAGCTCACCCGCAGGGTGATGCGCTGGGTAATATTCTCTGTCTTCTGTTCCCCTCACACATCTGCACACCTCTGGCAGTAAGTTGCACCTGCTGCAGTATCACCATCTTACATGCTCAAGGCAAGAGAGTACCCATGACAGGATGGGCTGTCCACAGCCCGCATCACCCTCACAGGAACCCCTGTGTTGACTGTCCCTCACCCCAGAACCTCCTCTACCATGTGGTCGGCTGGACTGACTGGAATATTGCCCTGAACCCCGAGGGGGGCCCCAACTGGGTGCGCAACTTTGTCGACAGTCCCATCATCGTGGATATCGCCAAGGATACATTTTACAAACAGCCCATGTTCTACCACCTTGGCCATTTCAGGTAAATGCAGGGCAGGCGCCCCATTCCTCACCAGGTCTGTCATCACCTGCCCAGAGCTTACATCACCTCAGCCAAGCAGGAGCAGGAAGATGTTCGGGGAGGGAACCCTGCCACAGACACACCCACCCCCCTTGCACCATCAGGGCAGGAAGTGACTGGGTGGCGTCAGGGGCACGTTCAGCCCAGATGCCCAATGTTGAGGCCAGGGCATGGGAGGGGCAGGGCAGGAGCTCCCAGGGAGGGTGAGGGGTGGCTGACTTCTCAGATAAGGGTTCAGTGCGAGGTGCCTGAGGGCCCCGGGGCTGGGCTGGGCTCCCTGACGATGCCTATTCCCACATACAGTAAATTCATTCCTGAGGGCTCCCAAAGAGTGGGGCTGATGGTCAGTGACAAGAATGACCTGGACACAGTGGCCCTGTTGCATCCCAACGGCTCTGCGGTCGTGGTTGTACTCAATCGGTGAGGGCAGTGGTGGCCGGGGGTGGGAGCTGGCTGGTGGCAGGACACGGGGCATCAGCGAGCTCACACTCAGCTTCTCCCCTCCCCCACCCCCAGCTCCTCCAAGGACGTGCCTCTTACCATTAAGGATCCTGCCATGGGCTTCCTGGAAACGATCTCACCTGGTTACTCCATCCACACTTATGTGTGGCGTCGCCAGTGATGGAAGAAGCAGACACCCCAGGAGGCATGGGCATTAAAGGGACAAAGACAGCATACATGCTGTGATTCCACAGGACTGCAGCGGGGCAGGGGGATGAAGCAGCTACCAGTGGTGTGACCCCAGGGGCAGCAGCTTAGGTGACTTATTTCCCCCCTTTAGTTGGTGCTAGGGGCTAGAGCCCCCTAAAACACCCACCAGTGGAAAGATCAGGAAGCCCTGGGGGACCCAACCCTGCGCGTGTATAAGCGTGTGCTGTGCTACGTGTTGGTTGCCTGTGGAAGTTGGGTCCAGGCCCAGGCTAAGCTCACTGTATAAACACAAGTAGGGGTGTAGGGAGGGGGGTGCAGGGAAGATGTTGCTTAAGGGAAAGAAAAAAGAGACAGGGAAGTTGGATGCAAAACTGAAGAAAAACAGGACTGTATCTTTGCTGGAGATGCAGAATGGAGCTATGCAGAAATAATGTAGGAGGTTCCATTGCCTTTTTTGGTGCCTTTTCTGGCCAAAGACAGAAACAAAACAAAACAAAAAACAGGCAGCCCTCTAAAGAGAGGACATTTGATCCCAGTCAATATGAGCAGCTTTATTGTGGGGGGGAGCACCCTTTCTGGCCGTACCAACAATGGGGAGGCACGGGGCCTCTGGAATGCACGACAGTAGAAAGATCAGTCAGTCTGGGGAGCATGTGGCCAAATCACTCATCTTCATCCTCCTCTGCTAGACCCAGGGCCCGGGTGCCCTGGGCCCGGGCAGGAGTTGCCCGTTGGATGGAGATGATGCCGCTGAGCAGGGCATAGCCCACCATGGCTGCCAGCCCTGCCAGCACAGATAGTATCTGATTCCGGCGCCCATAGGGTTCGTCCTCAGCCTCTGGGCCTGCTGATGTCTGGCGTGGGGGCGGTACCTCAGCTGAGGGACCAAGAAGGCAGGTGGGTGGGGACACTTGCTCCTGGGGCCCTGCCCCTCTCCCCAGGCTTGGCCGCCCTCCCTTCTATCCCTTACCTCCATCCCAGGGGAAGTAGAGGCTGAGGATGTGGGTACAGTAAGCACAGAGGTTGTGGAGCCCCCGCAAGTGGGCCTGTAGTTTGCCACTGGGTAGCTTCGCCTGTAGCAGCAGGGCCAAATGACTGAAGACAAAGGCATCCAGGGAGGCAGGGCTGGAGGGGAGAGAGAGAAGCGGCGGCCTGGGGCAGGGGCGCCGGGCTGCAGGAGGGCTCTGGGCAGCAGATGGTCACCATGGCTAGACAGGACCTGAACTAGGGAGAGTTCTCAAGGTGGCGCCAGGCCGCCTCTGAATGGGGGCTCTATCCCAGGGTTGCATAAAAGGCACATTGAGTGTTCCCGCAGCCCCGGCAGGCCCCTTTAGCGCCTGGCTGCCCTCCCATCCCAGCCTGCAGGACCACCGAGGAGGATCTGACCACACACATGAGTCCCACTGTCACCAGGACTGCAGCCTCCAGAGAAAGCCTGCATCATCCTCCAAGCCCCCTCAGGAGCCCCTTGGGGCCTGACTCACGCGTCTCCAAAGAAGAACTTCTGGGAGCCCAGGCGCTGAGAGAGAAGGGTCAAGCACTCACGAGCCCCCTGGTACAGCTGTAGGCAGGACACAGGTAGGCTTGTAGCTGCTGCGGGCACAGTGCCACCCCTTCTCCTGGCACTCGCATGCCTAGCCACCCTCCTTGGTGCTCATCTCCTACGACAGCCCCTGTCCCAGAGCTACCTCCTTCTCCAGTTCTTCCTCATTCTCTGCTCTGTGCTCCCCACACAGCAGCTGCAGCCGTTCCATGTGCTGCCGCTGCATGCGGCCAGGCAGAAAGAAGTTGAGCGGAAAGGGCATAGCCTCTGCGTAAAATTTCCGGGTCACTTCCACATAGTTCTTGGCATCGATCCAGAAAGTGTGTATCTGGATTGGATAGAAGGGAAGGATGGGGTTGAGGGTAGGGAGGTTTGAGGCTGCGTGTGTGCCTGCTTGGCTCAGGGTGGGATTCCATCTTGACAGTGTTTGCAGCCAGTGGGTGTGTGTGTGAGCGTCTACCCCTGCCCTCCTTGGACATGAATACTTGAAAATGGATGGGCACACTCACCAGAACAGGCAGCAGCTTCTCCTCTAGCAGGGACATGAAGGCCAGGGTATCTGCCCCCTGCCGGGCTGACAGATCATAGTCAGCATTGTACTTCTGTGGTGATGGAAAAGAAAAATGCACCTCATGCTGGGGAGCTGGGGACAGCAGGGTATTCCCCCCCACCCCTTAGGCTGCACACCACGAGAAGTACAACATACAGAAGCTCTTTCCTCTAAGGCCCCCTTGCCTGGACCCAGCCAATAGCCTGTTGCCATTGGCATAAGGCCTGGACTTGGTAGTCTGCTAGCCGTCAAGGTCCTGTGCCCACTGGGGGTTGGGGAGGGGGAAGGAGGAAGGAAGGCTCGGCCACAAACTAGGAGCAGCTCCCAGAGTTTCCACGGAAAGCTGGCGGCACTCCTGCTGACGGCAATTCTAACAGTAACTTCCCCATCCAGACACCACAAAGTTAGCAGATCCGAGCACCCAGGCAGACTGGGCCTTGGTCCATGCCTCAGGAACCAGGAGCTGTCACCCACATACACCCTGGACCCAGCAAACCCAGGCCCCTGACACCCCCCACACACTGCCCCATTTATCCCTAAAGGGCCCAGTGACCCAGCTCTTGGCTCCTCCCACTTCATTCCATGACCCAGGCACCACTGCCACATACACATTCCACCCGTATGCCACCCCAGGTCTCCAGCTGCCCTACCTTCCTCATCTCTAGTCTTGGTTCCTCAGCTTCCCCATATCCCTTTGAGTAAACTTTGTCCCTAATATCCCCTTGATCCTTAAGCCTCAGCCTCTCCCTCCCAAGAAACAGAATAGGAAGAATGTCTTTATCACAATAGGACTACCTCAGGAACTAACGGAAGAGGAAGCACTTGGGAAATTGACAAGTTCTGTTCCTACATGAGGATTCAGGGCACTGGGTCAGGGCCCTGCCAGGAGCTTTGGCCCTAATCAGGCTCCCGCTGCTACAGGCCTTTCTTATTAGCTCAGTGCCTCCACCTTCAGCAAAGTGGTGTTAAGGAAGAGCATCTTCCTCTATTTCTGATGCTGTGTCCCTTCATGTGAATGCTAGGAGAACCCTTGCTAAATGTGTTAGAAGTCCCCTAGTTTTACACACCAGGAACTTCTGACTCTGAGTAGTTCAACAACTCATCCAAGCTCACAGTCAATGACAGGGTGCTAAGTACAACCTACCCTGCTTGTAACACACTTTCAACTCCCCTTACTGTCTCCAAGCCTTGTGCAGCCTGAGCCCTATGTCTAGCCCAACGTGGTCCCTAACAAGAAGGAAGTAAACCTTGGAAGTTCCTCTCTAGTTTCACATCTTAAGGCCTCACTAGAGCCCACTGTAGGCTTCTTTTCTCCAGTCTCTGCATCATCCACCTGGGCCTCCCCCTCCCGCTGCGTGGCAGGTCGAAGCCACTGTGCCCCGGGATGCCACCACAGCACCCTACTATCTTGCAGTGACACTGTGTGCATCTTCCCCATCAGAACGCCTGTTCCTTCATGCCCTTGGTCACAGCCATCTGGCTTGGCTGTATCCCATGTTCAATAAACACTGTGTTGCCTTCAACTGATGGAGCTTCTTGTGCTGGCAGCCCCTCTACTAAAGCCACGTACCTCCTTTCGCAGGTGGGTGATGATCTTGTGAGGTACGGAAATGACCTCTCCATGACTGGTGCGAAGGGCAGGCAGGGTTCCTGATGTGGAGAAAGAAGCTTGCTCACCACAACCCTGGCCTTCCTGTCACACACAGGAATGCCACGTTCCTGCTCCTCCCCTTGTACTCTTCCTCCCCTCAACCACCTTCCACCCTGCGGTGGGGGGGACACTGGGTACCTGAAGGGCTCCGCCAGGGGTTGGCAATCTTGTGTACCTTGAGTGGAGCACCAGTAAATCTGGCATAGGTCTGCAGGGTGGGAAAGAAAGCAGAAAGTAGCAAGGTCACACATGGGGAAATCAAGAAGGGAAATAATATTTATTGGAGAGATGCGGGCAGACACTCCCATTCCTGTTACACAGTCAGCAGAGGACTCCTCCTCCATCTCTCTGGCCACCTCCTTAGCTTTTCCCAAAGAGAGACAGACCCTCCAATGGTGAGTCCTAACAATGTTCTGCTTAGGTGGTCTCTATGACAGATTCCTACTTCCACCTCAGCATTCTACTGTATTTGTTTCTACCTTCAATTGTCTGATAACAACTCAAGGGGAGGGACCAAGACTTACTCATCTTGGCAAAGCAATGTTTGGTGTTAGAAACCTAAGAGATAACTCTGTAAACCAAGGAGGTAGTGAAAGAGTGACTTCAACTCAGTTTGACTCCAAAGATCTTTCTACAGACAGCCCTGGCTGTGGGCTGTTAGGGCCAATGAACAATAGGCTCAATACATCCTTTAGGAAGACTGGAGACAGTGAAGGGGGTGGGGCTGAAGACACTGGAATGTAAAGCCCAAGGAGATTCCTGAGATTGTCCGGTTTAGTCAACATCCTGGCGCCACAGCCACAGCACCGGGGGAGAAGTGATATGGCCCCAAGGTCACACAGGAACCACAAGGATGAGTAAGGACCAGAACCCTTCCCCCGTGAACCCCCGCCCAGGCCTCGTTCTGGTGCTGCACGAAGCCAAAGAAAACTAAGGCACAGGTCCATCTGGGTCCATCGTGGCCAGCACGGTCCCTGACTGCCTCAGTTTCCCCGGCTGCACTCGTGCTGAGGTGCCCCGGGCTGAATTCGAATGCTTGGCCAGTTCGAGTTCCCTCCCCTAGCTCTCCAGGGCGCCGGCGCCACCCCTCACCAGCACGGCCAGACTGTCCAGGTCCACGGAAGGGAGCCCCCAGCCCCCCGACCAGCAGAACAGCTCCATGGGCGCCGCCATCTTGCCCGCCCTCTGTCCCGGAAGCACCTCCCCCTGTGCGTCCGCCCTCCCCTGCGCCGGCCAGCCTGCTGCCGCCGCCGCCCCTCTGGCCGCTGCGGGCTGGGGGCCTGAGGAGGCCTCGGGGGAGGCGGCTGGCCGGCGCAGGGCGGAGCAGTGAACTCCGGGGCAGGGCACCCGCCGGCCCATCCAGAAGCGGCCCCTGTAGGGGGGCCGGGCCGTGGGCCTGGCGACGCGCCTCGGGGAGTCACGACGCCCGGCGCTAGCGGAGTCCCGAAGCCCCGTAGGCGCGGCGGGCCTGGGAGAAGGAGCCCTTGGGCGCCTGGGCTGGCCCCGGACGCTCTTGCCAGGCTGCACGTGGCCTGGACTGCCCCGGGGCCCCTCAGGGCTCGGCCCCGGGTGGGGGTTGCGGGGGGATCCTCCGAGCCGCATGTTTTCCACAGCGCGTTATGTTTGGAGCGAGCCCCGCGCCGCCTGTCGCCATGGAAACAAAACAGGGGCGGTGGCGGCTGCCGGGCTGGGGCCGGAGTTGGGGGAGGGGAGGTGCGGCCCCGGGCCGTTACCTTGGTAACGGGAACTCAGGCACCCCCTCCGCCTCATCCGGGTCACGGCCCGTCCTCCGGTACCCGCGGAGTGCTCCAGTCGGTGCTCGGACATCTGGCCTCTGCTTTGGTTTTCTACTCCTGCCCCTGGCCTCCGCTTCCTTCATTTCGACCTCACTGACCTCCTTTTAAGTTCCTGTCGGATGATTTCTGACTCCCAAGTTTTCCTAGGAAATGAGAGAAAATGGAGTCTCAAGCACACATGTCAGCGGCTGTGTGTGTGGGGGGGGGTGGACCCCTACCCTAAATAAAGAGCAGTTGCTCCGTCAGAGCCAGGAGCGATCTTCATGCTGTGTGGGCATCCTCTGGACGCTATAAACCAGCTCCTTTCGGCCCCTCCCTTGGCATCTGTTCCTGCCAGCTGTGGAATAATGCCCACTGCCTGCCACTGCCCAAGCCAGAGGTTCCTGCCTGCCCCTGACTCTGCCTTCCAGAAAACAGTAGCCTTCGGTAGCTCTGTGCTGAGGCCCCCAACAACGGGATGGGATGAGAGAGAGGAGGGCACCTGGGGAGAGGACCAGTAGGGAGGGGCTGGCGGCAAGGAGGCCTCTAGGACTCTCCGGTGCCCGGGGCTCTCCCCCACCACCGGCACTGGGGATGCCTCCAGAGTGATTGGCAGCTCTTTGTTTCAGCCCCCCCTCACCCGCCTTCTGCCCCCCCTTCGACTCCCCCCTCCGTCCCTCCGCCCCCCTCTCCTGCTCTCTCCGCCTGCCTAGCCTTTTCCCCTCCCAGCTGCCTGTCTGCCAGGGGTAGTGAGCCGGCCGAGCGGCATGGAGACGCAGGAACTTCGGGGGGCCCTGGCTCTTCTCCTCCTTTGCTCTTTGGCATTTGCCAGTCAGGACCTGCAGGGTAAGCCTGACTATCTTGCTAGACGCCCCCTCTGGGCCTCCTCCTCCTCCTGATGCCTCCCCACCCCCCCCCGGCCCTCACCCCAGTCCAGGTAGCAGGGAAACATGTGAGCCAGGGGATAGGGACCAGTCCTGAAATTGAGCTGTTGGAAGACAAGAGTCCCTGGAAGAGTCCCTGGAAGGGTGGCCTGGTGGAGGGAGTGGACACACGGAGTGGTGGGTGAGTGGGAACTAGCCAGGGTCAGGCCAGAGCCAAAGATTGAGGGGTCTGAGCATCTGTGGACACCCCCAGGGTCTGGCACAGCAGCTTGAAGATGTTGTGGTCTATGGGCTTCAGTCCCCCCAAGGGTCCTGGCTGCTGAAGTTGAGGGTGGGGGTGGGGACAGAGGTCTGGGCTCTCCTGGGAGGTCTGGCATGATGGGCCCTGGGCCCGGGTGTGGGAGAGGTAACTGGGGCAGATGACACAGACACAGATTCTGCACTGGTGGGAGGGGAAACCACAGATTGGCCAAGACACAGGACACAGGAGAGCTGGGTCCCACATTCCCAGAAGAGACAGCCCAGACGGTGCTGGGAGGTCAGAGCCTCAGTGGGTAACTGTTCCCCTCCAGGGGAGCGCACTGAGCCCCCACGAGGGAAGGATGGGTACTTGCTTGGATGTAGGAGCCAAACCCAGTGGTGGAAAGAGCTGCCTTACGTTGCTATTGCTGCGCTGTGGGCACCAGGTGCCACTCAGACCCGAGAACAGCAGCACAGCCTATCTCCCTTGCGCCATCTGGTGGGGGCATCTCAAGATTGTAGGGTGCTCCTGAATTTCCGAGGGAGCCTTTGGGCCTGCAGGTTCCCCCATCACAGGGATTGTAACTGGAGAGGTAGCAAGGCACACACCTCTGTTGGCCAGAAGGGTTGAGCTGAGAACTGGACTGCCACCACCTGGGGCTGTGGATGGGATGATAAAGGATGCCCCACCCCTAAAGGCACAACAGGGAGGGCAGGCCTTAGTATTTAACCCTCTTCTGACCTTGATAACCTCTGCCTGGCCAGTCATTGATCTGCTGACTGTGGGCGAGTCTCGGCAGATGGTGGCTGTGGCTGAGAAGATCCGGACAGCCCTACTTACCGCTGGGGACATCTACCTCCTGTCCACCTTCCGCCTGCCCCCCAAGCAGGGCGGGGTCCTCTTTGGCCTCTACTCTCGCCAAGACAACACTCGATGGCTGGAGGCCTCTGTGGTGGGCAAGATCAACAAAGGTGACTGGTGGGCATCTCCTGGTCCTGCAGCCGTGTCCCTCTGAGCACGCTCCCCTCATCCCCTGCCCAGGTGCCTCCTGTTCTCCTTGGCTTCTGCTAGGAACTGGGGAGGAAGGCATTTGATATGGGGGGGTGGGTCAGGCACCCCCCATGTAATGATGTTGCTATGTGCAGGGATGGGAGGTTATACTTGGGTGATGCCAAGAGGGAGGGTGAAGCCCATCTCTGGCAGTGACCCAGAGAGGTCCTTCAGGTCCCCAAGATAGCATAGTGGGCACCTGGACCCACTGCTGCCCCAGGACAGGATAGAATGAACTGATGCTCTGACGTCTGGTCTCTTAAACCAAGGGGAGAACCATAAACAATGTCTGCAGCATTGAGGGCCTGTAGCTGAATTAGGGGTGGTGACCCTAGAAATATGGAGTCCACAAGAGTGGGTCCACCAGAGTGGGAGACAAGGCCCATACTGACCTCCCCTCCCGGGCAGTGCTGGTGCGGTACCAGCGCGAGGATGGAAAGGTCCACGCAGTGAACCTCCAGCAGGCCAGCCTGGCCGACGGGCGTACACACACAGCCATCCTGCGGCTCCGAGGTCCATCCCGACCCAGCCCCGGCCTGCAGCTCTATGTGGATTGCAGACTGGGAGACCAACATGCTGGCCTTCCTGCCCTGGCCCCCATTCCCCCGGCCGAGGTCAGCGGGCTGGAGATTAGGACCGGGCAGAAGGCTTACTTAAGGATGCAGGTGAGCAGGGAGAATCCTGTGTGGAGAGATAAGTTGGTGCCAGTGGGGGTGGGAGGAGGAGGTGGGAGAGCTCCATCTTCCACTGCTCTAACCCCCCTACCCTCCCAGGGCTTTGTGGAGTCTATGAAACTCATCCTGGGTGGGTCCATGGCCCGAGTAGGAGCCCTGAGCGAATGTCCCTTCCAAGGGGACGACTCCATCCACAATGCAGGTAACACGGAGCCTTCTGTTGACTGCACTGGACTTTGGTGGCTCATAAGCTCTTGACCTCACTCACCCTGAATACTTAGTTCTTTGGTATGAACTTGGGTTTTGATCTCCTGTGAGGAAACTCTCTTAAAGGGTCCCACATCCAATGCTGCCTGCCCATCACCTCTGCCCTCCCCACCACCCAGCTCATCCTGAGCATTCAGCCCAAGTGCACTGACTATGTTTTCTCATCCCTTCCAGTGGCCAGTGCCCTGCACTCCATTCTAGGTGAGTGGACCCTGCGGTGGATGCGGTGAGGGTATGGAGCAGGTCCTGGGCGTTCATAGCTGTCTGAAGTCAAGTCCTCTTCAGTTAGGCTGGGTGGGTAGGGGGCAGGTAGGCAGAATGCCAGTCATGCCCCCTCCCCACCCCTCATCCTGAGCTTCTCCCACCCTGGGTTCTGGCAGGGGAGCAGACCAAAGCGCTGGTTACCCAGCTTACCCTCTTCAATCAGATCCTGGTGGAGCTGCGGGATGACATCCGAGACCAGGTTTGAGTGGGGTTAGGATGGGGTGGTGCTGACTCCAGAGCAGGTGGCAGACACCAGGAGCTGACTCCTGCCTGCTCTTCGCCCACCAGGTGAAGGAAATGTCCCTGATCCGTAACACTATCATGGAGTGTCAGGTGTGCGGTGAGTGGGAAAACAGGGCAGGCTCCAGATGGTGCTCCCCAACTCTGTCACCTTCCAGGGACTTGAATGCTGACTTCTGGGTGGCTCTGCCTGTGCCCCCCCCCCAGGCTTCCACGAGCAGCGTTCCCACTGCAGCCCCAACCCCTGCTTCCGAGGTGTGGACTGCATGGAAGTGTATGAGTACCCAGGCTACCGCTGTGGGCCGTGTCCCCCAGGCCTGCAGGGCAACGGCACCCACTGCAGTGACATCAATGAGGTGGGGAAAGCAGAAGCCACAAGGCCAGGAGAGAAGGGTGGGGGTTTGAGGTGGGCATCTAGAGGGCTAGGTGAACTCGGAGAAGCAATAGCTTAGGGTTAGGAGAGGCTCAGATACAGCAAAGTGCGAGTTGGGAGACAGATGTCAGAAGGCTGGCCTACAGTGTGCTGGGTGGGCAGGGCAATGGCTGCAGCACCCCAGGATGAGGCCTGACTCATGCCTCCTTGTCTGCTCCCCAGTGTGCTCATGCTGACCCCTGCTTCCCGGGCTCCAAGTGCATCAACACCATGCCTGGATTCCACTGTGAAGCTTGTCCCCGAGGATACAAGGGCACCCGGGTGTCTGGCGTGGGCATCGACTATGCCCGGGCCAGCAAACAGGTGAGCATGGGTAACACTTCTTGGCTCTGCCAGGGGCTTTGGAGTTGACCATAAGACCCCTAAGATGGAATGAGGGCTGACGGTGTCAGCTTTGGGTCTGCATTCACAGCTGAGGCCTTAGCAGGTCTCTCAACACAGGTCTGCTTCTATTCCATCTGCCCCTTCAGGTCTGTAGTGACATCGATGAATGCAATGATGGCAACAATGGTGGCTGCGACCCAAACTCCATCTGTACCAACACTGTGGTGAGCTGCATGTCAGGGGTTCTCTTCAACCATCCTGCTGCCCTGCCCCCTCCCCAGCATTCGGCTGAAGGAGGTGTTTACAGGGACTTGGCTTTGGAATTCCAGCATCTGCCTCTTACTAGCTGTGACCTGTGAGAAGTTATTTTCACTTTTTTTTTTTTTTGAGTCTCTACTTCCTTGTTGGGAAAGTATTGTTGCCATGAGAACCTGAAAGAAACCCAGATATACTTGGAATGGCTGGCAGTGACCCTTGTGTCCCCAGCAGTGCTGGTCCTAGATGCCTTGAGGGTATGTGGGGTGTTAGGCTCACTCCAGTCTTCCTAAGATACTGCTTCCCCATTCTTAGGGCTCCTTCAAGTGTGGCCCCTGCCGCCTGGGTTTCCTGGGGAACCAGAGCCATGGCTGCCTCCCAGCAAGGACTTGCCATAGCCCAGCCCACAGCCCCTGCCATGTGCACGCTCACTGTCTCTTTGAACGTAACGGTGCTGTGTCCTGCCAGGTAAGCAGTGCTGGGAGCTTGGTAGGATATGAGACCCTAGGAAGAGGGGTAGGGACTGGGTGGGAAAAGATGGTGGGACCTGGGCCATGCTTAGTGGGGACAACAGTGCCTGCAGCAAAGTGAAATCAAGCTGCCACACACACACAAACACTGCCCCCAACCCCCTTTGTGTTGGCCCAGTGCAACGTGGGCTGGGCAGGGAATGGGAATGTGTGCGGCCCCGACACAGACATAGACGGCTACCCGGACCAGGCCCTGCCCTGCATGGACAACAACAAGCACTGCAAGCAGGTGCTGGGGCAGGCGGGAGGTTGGGGGCAAGTGGTGGGGAGCCACAGACTGGGCCAGGCCAGGACTCATGGATCCTATCCTACCCCACCCACACTTTAGGACAACTGCCTTCTGACACCCAACTCTGGGCAGGAAGATGCTGACAATGATGGTGTGGGGGACCAGTGTGACGATGATGCCGATGGGGATGGGATCAAGAATGTCGAGGTGGCTCCCTGGCCGCACTGCCCTTTCCAGTTCCTCTGCTGTTCTCTGTGTCTCTGTCTCTCACTGGCCCCTGGCAGCTCTCTAGGGAGGCACAGCTTGGTGCCCAGCACAAGGTGGACTACATAGAAGCTGGGATGAAGGGTGGGACCATCCAAGGGGCGCAAAGGGACACGGGTAGTACAAGATGGCCAGTGACTGCAGGGGAGATGTGACACCTTCACCCCCCTCCTGCTCTGCCCAGGACAACTGCCGGCTGTTCCCCAACAAGGACCAGCAGAACTCTGACACAGACTCATTTGGTGATGCCTGTGACAACTGTCCCAACGTTCCCAACAATGACCAGAAGGACACAGATGGCAATGGAGAAGGAGACGCTTGTGACAACGATGTGGACGGGGATGGTGCAGGCCTGGGGCTGGGGGTGGCTGGGAAACTTGTAATGCCTTGATGGGGAAAGTGAGGCAGGGAGGCTAGGTGGTCCCTGGAAATAGGGGAGGGATACCTGTGGGCACTGCTTGCAGCAAATGTCTGTGAGAACATGGGGTAGCAGGGTCACAGATTTCCTAACCAGTTGTCCTGTGGGTGGAGAAGCTTCGGGCTCTGGTCAGCTGATGGGACAAAGTGCCACCCCCTTTCTAGGCATCCCCAATGGACTGGACAATTGCCCCAAAGTGCCCAACCCACTACAAACGGATAGGGATGAGGATGGAGTGGGAGATGCTTGCGACAGCTGCCCTGAGATGAGCAATCCCACCCAGGTACAGGGGCTGGCGAGGGCAGGGATGGGTGGGTGGGTGAAGCCCCAGCCCTCTGATGGGAAGTGGGTCACACAAGAGGAGTTGGTAAACAGGGCCCCCTCTCTCAGACAGATGTCGACAGTGACCTGGTGGGCGACGTCTGCGACACCAATGAGGACAGGTGGGGTCCTGGCTGAGAAGGAAAGGCATTTTACTCTCCTCTAGCTCAATCCTCTAGGACATGGCCTTCATTCTTTGCGACCTAGAGAAGGTCATCCTTTCCCATCATCTGACTTCCATTCCCCCCTTACCTCATCTGGCTGGCAGCGAGGAGGAGGAGGAGGCACTCCACAGACTGTGCCCCCCCCCGCTCCCGCCCCAGGCAGAAGCAAGGGTCAGGATAGGGTGGGAATCTTTGTTGTTTGTTGGCTTGATATGCGGCTGTTGTTCCGAGCAGCGACGGTGATGGGCACCAGGACACCAAGGACAACTGTCCACAGCTGCCAAACAGCTCTCAGCTGGACTCAGACAACGACGGCCTTGGGGATGAGTGTGATGGGGATGATGACAATGACGGCATCCCAGACTACGTGCCTCCAGGTCCCGACAACTGCCGCCTGGTGGCCAACCCCAATCAGAAAGACTCAGATGGTGAGGAGGGCCGGCTCCGGGCAGGGGCAATGTGCAACCAGGGAGGAGAGTTGTGGCTGGTGGCACTGCCAGGGCCTTCCTGAGCACCCAGCCTTCACCCCGGCCAGGCAACGGCGTAGGCGACGTGTGTGAGGACGACTTTGACAATGATGCAGTGGCTGACCCCCTTGATGTGTGTCCCGAGAGTGCAGAGGTGACCCTCACAGATTTCCGCGCCTATCAGACCGTTGTCCTGGATCCTGAGGGTGATGCTCAGATTGACCCAAACTGGGTGGTGCTCAACCAGGTACCCGGGGATGTAGGTGGGGAGAGTGCTGGTGGTGGCCTAGACCTCAGAGCGGGGCCTACGTGAGGCCCCTGCACCTGGATCAGAGCCGTTTTTTCTTTTTATTTTTTCTTTACTGAACCACCCCCAGGGCATGGAAATTGTTCAGACCATGAACAGCGACCCTGGCCTGGCAGTTGGTATGTGAGGGACGCTCAGTCCAGTCATTCCTATGAAGTAATCCTACAGGGGCACAGGGAGCAAAGGCCAAGAGGAGGAAGTGGGCAGGCTAGCTCATATGTCCTCAGCCAGCAGGCATCCTCTGACCTTGAACCCTCACAACACCCCCATCCCAGGCTACACAGCCTTCAACGGTGTGGACTTTGAAGGTACCTTCCATGTGAACACAGTGACCGACGATGACTACGCAGGCTTTCTCTTCAGTTACCAGGACAGCGGCCGCTTCTACGTGGTCATGTGGAAGCAGACGGAGCAGACCTACTGGCAGGCCACCCCCTTCCGGGCCGTTGCGCAGCCAGGCCTGCAGCTCAAGGTCCCCCAGCTGCCTAGCTTATCCACCCTAGGCCCTATCCCCCAGCTCTCCCCCTTCACTCCACAGCCTGGCCTGGCCACAGGAGAGCCCTCAGGGTCCCCCCTGGCCCTCGTTTCCTTGTCCCACTGCCCCTTGCTAACCTTAGCTCCCTCACCTGAGTGTCTACCTGGGCCGGCTGATTCACAGCTGGTTGACTCATTATCTTTACCTTGCTCCCTCTCCACCAACCGCCAGGCAGTGACATCAGCCTCGGGTCCGGGAGAACACCTCCGGAATGCCTTGTGGCACACAGGCCACACCCCTGACCAGGTCCGACTGCTGTGGACAGACCCACGGAATGTGGGCTGGCGTGACAAGACTTCCTATCGCTGGCAGCTCCTGCACCGGCCTCAAGTGGGCTACATCCGGTGAGGCAGCTCCTGGAGGACACACCGCTGCCCACTCCCCAGGGGCTGTGGGCAGGAACTGATGATTTCTCTCTCCCTTCTCCCTACCCACGCCAGGGCCTGCAGGGCCAGGCTGGGCCAGCCACTTGTCCTCTGCACTTTGTCCTGCTCTGTTCTTTCCCCTGTGGTCCCAAGAAGATGTTGTGCTTAGATGCATCATACAGGCCCTGTGGGAGCCTCCAGAAGCCAGGCCCTTCTCTGGAGGGGTTGCATCCCATGTCCTCCCTTCCCCAAGTTGGGCTAGCCTGGAGCCCATCCCATCCAGGAAGAGTCCAGACCGGGCCTGCACGGGCTTCTCTCTCAGTCCACATCTTAGCGTTTCCCTGTGAGGGTCCCAAGTGAGCATTAGGTGGGAAGGCAGCAGGAACACGGTTCTTAAGAGAAAAAAACTCTCTAGGACCCCCCCAGGGTTGGTTCCCCTTTAAGGTGCCTAGGGCTGTGGTGGTGCCAGGGCAAGGATAAAGGGGGGGGGGAATGTACTAGAGCCTGGGAAGTGGGTGACTTCACCCCCCAACCCATTGTACTTGTCGTCATGGCAACCCAATCCTCGCCTGGAATGCGGCTGGTGCTTTGAGATGCAAAAGGGGCCTGACAAAGAACTAGGGGCCCCAAGCCTGAGAAAAGTAGCCCAGCCTATCCTTCCCTCCGCTCCTGGCTCTCCCAGGCTGGGGGAGGGGGAGGAATAGAGCCCCTGGGCACAGTGGCACCCATGCACTCCCCAATCCTGGACAGGGTGAAGCTCTATGAGGGTCCCCAGCTAGTGGCGGATTCGGGGGTGATCATTGACACCTCCATGCGAGGGGGGCGCCTCGGTGTATTCTGCTTCTCCCAAGAGAACATCATCTGGTCCAACCTCCAGTACCGCTGCAACGGTGAGGCTCCGGGCCATGTACCCGACCCCTCCTGCCCCCCTGGAGAACACATCCTCTGACCTCACTCGTCTCCCTCCTTCAGACACTGTGCCCGAGGACTTTGAGCCATTCCGGAGGCAGCTACTCCAGGGAAGGGCCTGAGGAGCTGTCACAGGATTCAGAATCCAGCCTTCTAGGGACCCCTTGGGCTTGGGGGTCTGTCCTGGAGACCCTGGAGGCTGGGGGGGGGGGGGTGTCTAGGCTACAGTCCGCCCCTCGGGCAACCACAGACCCCTCCTCTGGCACCCACTCGCCAGGAGTTCAGCCACTGAGTTGGGGAGGATGGCACTGACCCACCCCACTTGTCAAGAGATGGGAGATTTCCAAGGGGTAATACTCAGGCACTAACCCCCAGGAAAAAGAACACCCCATTGCCATAAAGTTCCCCTTGTTTTCTAACTAAGTGCAATTGCTTATTTTTAGGGATTTGTTGTTTGGGTTTTTTTTTTTTTTGCCAGGGCAGGGTGGGAGACAGCAAGGAAACGGGAGTGTGTTAGAGAGGCTGGAGGATGAGAGCCTTGGGAGAGTTGGACTGAGTTTCAGGCAAGGGTGGAGAAGACACCGGACAGGGCTGAGTGAAGAATGGGGTGCCGGCTGGGGGGGTCCCCAAAGTTCTCCCAGCCCCACTTACTCACGGTGGCAGCGGCGACACTCCGTCTTAGATCAGCCAGGGAACCAGGAAGACGGGGGTGAGGGAGACCACGGGGAGGCTGCCTGGCTCGGGTGAGGGGGAGACCGGGGGGCCGAGGGGGCCGGAGGCCGGGACGAGTGCAATATTGGCAGGGTAAAGAACAACACTGCACCGCGTCCCGTCCCTCCCGCCCGCCCGGGGCCCGGGATCCCGCTCTCCCACAGCCTACAGCTGGCCGAGCGAGCCACAGGGCCAGGGGCGCGCTGCGGAGAGTTGGGCTCACCTTTAAGACTAGAGACTTGGCGCCCCGAGGGGCGCGAGGGGATGGAAATGGGGAGGGGGAGGGGGAAGGGAGAAGGGGAAACCGCGTTGCCCCGGAAGGCCGCTTTCCGACGCCAGGGTGTTGCGCGCGCTTGCTCTTTAAATACTCAGACCGCGCGGCGAAGCCGCCGCCATGGTGACGCGTCTCCCAGCAACCGGGTCGAATGGCTGTTGCCTGGGAACGCCAGGAGTTGAGCTTTGGGGCCGCCCACCTAGATACTTTCTCGGACAGCGGGTAGGGAGGCTCCCCCGCCTCTCCAGCCCGGGCGCCCCCACCCTGCCCCTGGCTCGGCTCCACCGCCGCACAAAGGCGCGAATTGAAGGCCACGCGGCGCAGGACGCGAGCGGAGAACTGGGAGTGAGAGGTCCCGTCGCCTCTCCCTCCAATCCTGCACCTCCCCCGAAGAGTTTTTAAAGTGTGGTCTTCCAGCCTGTATCCGTGGGAGCCAAGAATCATTTTTTTCCTAACGCGATCCGAGTTGCTTCTGTTGCCCCAGACCGCAGCCCGGTACCGCTACACCCGGCTGCGTGCTTCAACGGCGTGTGCCGCGGCGGTTCCAAATTACCTCCCCGCTCTCAAGAACTTCTGCCCTTCACCGCACTTTCTGGGCTTGTCAGTCACGCTCCCTCACACAGCTTCCCATTGCCCACCACGTGCCACCTGCCCTCATGCTACCTACTTCCCCCAGAGACCATTCCAGTCGCTTCCGTCGCCCCACCTACTCTCTACCTTCTAAATAGAAACTACCCCTACAATACCTGTCCTGTTTCTCCTCCCACATTCCGAAGTCCTCTCCCCACACACCTAGACGCCCCTTCCACATACCTGAGGACCCCACCCAGCCAGTTTCATTTCCTCCAGTCGCCTCAGTCTCCCTGTCCCCAAAGCTCCCCGCAACCAGCAAACAACTGGGCGTCCCTACCCCCTCTATCCAAGGCATGGCTTCCTTTCGCAGGAGTCCACCGCTCCCGTCCCCCAGCATCTTTCCACACCCCACCCGGCGGCACTTATAGACCCCTGCCCTCTACTCCACTCCGGGGTCTCGGGCCACCCCACCAGGCAGCCGCTGACCGCTAGAGGGCAGGAGCGCCTGGGCCTCGGCTCCAAGCGCAGTCTTGGCAAAGGAGGTCCTTAAGGGTTCGGTGGAGCCCGAGTTTCACGTCTTTAAGTGGAAACTTACCCACCCCCCCACACACCCCACCCCAGTATGCCAGGAGGGAACCCAGGCCACTGGAAAGTCTGGCCAGGGCGGGCCAATGTGGTTTTTCGGCTAGAGCTGCATGTGGAACGGGACAGGGAGCGGTTAGAAGGGTGGGGCTATTCCGGGAAGTGCTGGGGGGAGGGAGTCCTAAACTACCACTTCGTGCACTCATTATCACCCGTCTGGTTTCTTCCCGCCCCCCCCCCCCCACCGCGCACCAGGGGGCTGCGAAGGACACCAGGAAACTCTGGGAAAAGAAGAATGTGGGTGGGTGGAGTGGGTGGGTGGAGTGGGCTTCCCACCCCCCAGCAACCCACATCCCCTATGCTCTCCTCTCCCCTTGGCCTCAGTCCTCAGGTTAAAACTAGAGGCAGCCCCCCCACCCCCTGGATCCAGGGAGTGGCTGACGAAAGGGGGAGGCCCGCCACTGGAAAACAAACTCGGAGGGTTGAGTGATTGCAGCCCAGGTACTTACCCAGGAATGATTGGGGAGGAGGAGGAAAAGGGAGGAGGTGAGGAAGGGAGCAAGGGGGCGGGGTTTCATCACCTGTCACCTGCTCCGGCTGTGCCTAGGGCGGGAGGAGGGGGGGACCGGTATAAAGCAGCAGGCGCCAGTGCAGCTCCACCTCACCCGCAGTGCCCGCTGGAGTGCGCCCTGTCCCCTCCCCACCCATTTCACCACCGCCATGCCACCAGGCATGGATGTCCGGTCTTCTTTCTTCTTCTTGCTGCTGCTCCCAGGGCTTTCAGGTGAGGGGCACACGGTGGGAAGGGGCCAACCTGTGCTGGTGGTCTCCCTGGTCTGGGCCTGGCTGTGGGTTTTGCCCAAAGTAGCTGCACCAGGGACAGAAATTGTGGATGGGGGGGTGACTTCGTCAGTCAGGAAGGAGAGTGGCTTAGTGTGGGCTGGGTAGAAGCACCCCCTCCCCTGACCCAGGGTGCGAGGGGCAGGTGTGTGTCCTTAGGAGAAGGGGTGGGGGGAGCCAGGCCTGGGAGAGCTGGCTGGCCAGTAGGGGGTGGGGAGATGCTGGCTGCAGCCTGCTCCCAGCCCACCTGTATGTACTGCCTCTTTGGGGTATGGAGGTTTTAGTCTCCGCTTACCCAGGGTTGGCCTGCAAGCCAACAGTTCCTCCAGCTTCTGGCCCCAGCTAGAGCAGAGACTCCGGCTCCCCCAACCTGGGTGTCACCCGGCTCCATTGAGAGAAGTGCCAGGAGCGTGACTAGCAGCTTACCCCCCCGACCTCAGCCCTGGTTCAGGCTCTGTTGCCATTCTAGTTCAGCAGAGCTCCTCCACATCTTTCACCATCTCTACGTCGGGCTCGGCCACCACCACCATCCACAACAGAACCTCAGTCCCTGCCACCAGCTTACCCACCAGCCCTGTGTCAGGCTCAGCCACCACTACCGTCCACAGTGGCACTCCAACCCTGGCCACCAGCTCAGCCACCAGCTCTGTGTCGGGCTCGGCCACCACCACCATCCACAGCAGAACCTCAGTCTCCACCACCAGCTTATCCACCAGCTCTGCGTCAGCCACCACCAACATCCACAGTGGCACTCCAACCCTGGCAACCACCCCAACCACAAGGGCTGAATCAGGCTCTGCCACCACCTCCGTCCACAGTGGCACCTCGTCCCCAGCCACCAACTCTGGATTAGGCTCTGCCATCACCTCTCTCCCTGAAGGCACCTCGACTCCAGTCAGCTCAGCCACTAGCCCTGTCCACAGTGGCACCTTGGCCACCAACTCTGTCTACAACGGCACCTCAGCCCCAGCCACCAGCCCTGAATCAGGCTCAGCTACCACCCCCAATCACAGCAGCATCTCGGCCCTGGCTACCAGCCCCGTGTCGGGCTCGGCCACCGCATCTGCCCACAGCGGCACCTCGGCCCCAGCTACCAGACCCTCATCGGGCTTGGCCACCACATCTTTCCACAGTGGAACCTCGGCTCCGGCCACCAGCCCCGTGTCGGGCTCGGCCACCACATCTTTCCACAGCAGCACCTTGGCCCTGGCTACCAGCCCCTTGTCGGACTCGGCCACCACATCTTTCCACAGTGGCACCTTGGCCCCGGCTACCAGCCCCATGTCGGGCTCAGCTACCACATCTACCCACAGCGGCTCCTCAGCCCCGGCCACCAGCCCCGTGTCAGGCTTGGCCACCACCCCTGCCCACAGTGGCACCTCAGCCCCAGCCACCAGCCCCGTGTCAGGCTCGGCCACCACCCCTGCCCACAGTGGCACCTCGGTCCCGGCCACCAGCCCTGTGTCGGGCTCGGCCACCACACCTGCCCACAGCAGCACCTTGGGCTCAGCTACCACATCTACCCACAGCAGCACCTTGGCCCCGGCCACCAGCCCCGTGTCGGGCTCGGCCACCACCCCTGCCCACAGCGGCACCTCGGCCCCGGCCACCAGCCCCGTGTCGGGCTCGGCCACCACCCCTGCCCACAGTGGCACCTCAGCCCCAGCCACCAGCCCCGTGTCGGGCTCGGCCACCACCCCTGCCCACAGCAGCACCTCGGCCCCGGCCACCAGTCCCATGTTGGGCTCAGACACCACCCCCATTCATAGCAGCACCTTGGCCACAGCCACTACTGTGACAGTTGGCACAACAAGCACTCCCAGCCAGCACCCTGATGCCCCCACCAGCCTTCCCAGCCACAGCACAGAGCCTCCCCTCACAGCATCCAATCACAGCACCGCCCCACCAATGTATGACAGCCTTGCTTTCTTCTTCCTGTCTTTTTACATTTCCAATCTCCAGTTCAATTCTTCCTTGCAAGATCCCAACAGCAACTATTATCAAGAACTGCAGCACAACGTCTCCACACTGGTGGGTATCTACCTCTGAAGCAGCCCACCTTGGTACCACACTTGGTGGGGGCTTGGCTTTAGCAAGCCTGACTCCTTGCTCTCTCACCCCAGATCCTGGATATTTATACCCAGAAGGAATTCGTGGGCCTCTCTGGTATTAGGTTCAGGTATGGTTGTGTGGGGCAGGGGGTAGGTGCAGAGATGTGGCTGTGAGTCTGGGGCGGGACTGTGTACTCCTGGCAGGGTGGGGTGTGGTTGGGGAGGGGATGCTGAGCCCGAGCTGCGACCCAGGTCTGAGTGGTCTATCTCCCTATGGCCAGCCCAGGCTCTGTGGTGGTGGATGCAATTCTGGCCTTCCGAGGGAACAGCACCAATGAGGTCACAGTGCACTCGCAGTTTCTACGTAACTTAGACAAAGCAGCCAGATACAACCTAGACATCTCACGAATCACAGGTAACGCTGCTTCCCCGGCTAGAGTCCTGCCCCATGCCAGGAACCTCTCTCCTGCCAATGCCATGGTCCCTGGGTTCCTCCTTGGTGCTAGCAGGGGACAAGGTGGGGGATTGGAGTGGGGCACCTCCTTTGAGAGACTTCTGACCAATGACTTTTCCTTGTAGTGGACAATTCACTGTCTCCTTCAGCCCAGTCTGGGGTGCCAGGCTGGGGCATCGCCCTGCTTGTGCTGGTCTGTGTTCTGGTTGCGCTGGCCATCATCTATTGCTTGACCCTGGTGAGTGTTCAGGCTCTGGCTTTGACTAGCATCCCCTGGTGGAAGAACCACTCCCCCTCAATATCCCCACTCCTCTTCCCCCACTTGCTGGGCCACCATAACCCCCTCTGTCTGCCCAGGCTGTGTGTCAGTGCCGACGCAAGAACTGTGGGCAGTTGGACCTCTTCTCAACTCGGGACACCTACCATCCCATGAGCGAGTACCCCACCTACCAGACCCACGGCCGCTATGTGCCCCCTGGCAGTACCAAGCGCAGCCCTTATGAGGAGGTGAGGTTTGGGAATTCCTAAAGGGAACTGGGGAAAACCCAAAGCACCTGGGAGAGGTGGGACGTGGTGGCAGCCGAGGCCCTGTCAAGGTTAGTGGGCGAAGATGTGAAGAGTTGTGGGGAGGAGGCTTCCCAGCAATCCTGGTTGGCTGAACTGGCACCAGGGTAGTGTTGGCAAGGATGCCCAGAGGTGAAATGGGTTCTGCAGCGAAACCCTTCCTGCTGGAGTTAGCACCTGTGCCTCACTCCTGACCTGACCAGGAGCAGATTGCGCAAGCACAGGGGTCTGGGGCCAGGCCAGGTGACCCGGCCTGCTCAGGGGAGCAGGACCCCTCCTCCTTCCTCTCCCGCCCTTCTCTGCAGGACCTGGTAAATAATTACTGCAGCCTCCTGGGACTGGAAAGCCACTTGGTGTGGGGGAGGGAACAGGAGTTTCCTTTTCTTGTCTGAATTTTCCTCTTCCTGGGGACCTGTCTCTCCCAGTTTTGTCCATGTGTGTGCACATACTCACACATTCACTTGCTACCCCATTGGGTTAGGGGCACAGGGGGTGGAGGGGGTGGGCAAGGGGGCTGATTAGAGCCCAGGAGAGCGGGAGTAAGGGGGAGAGGGCGGGAGGGGGAGAGGTGGAGCAGCCTGTGTTTACAGTCACTTGGCTGGCTGTGGGGCCACCAGGTGCTGTCTCTGCATTAACCCTTGGAGAGCTGGCCAGGCCCCTGACCTGGGATGCCAGCTGGGGGCCCCAGGAGCTCCTTTCCACTTCTCACTCTTATTCCCTTCTCCTTCCTCCCACCCACCCAGATTTCTGCAGGTAATGGCGGTGGCAGCCTTGCTTACACCAATCCAGCCGTGGCAGCCACCTCTGCCAACTTGTAGGGACAAGTCGCCCGCTGAGGGCCAGCCGGTGCCAAAGTTCCTCATTCACTGCTGGAGCCCCTTTCCTTTGTCCTGGGCTGGCAGCCCATGAAGGTAGCCTGGTACCACCTGTCCCTGCCCTTCTGGATAGGCCTGGGGGCAGGGATGGGGTGACGTACAGGTGGACCAGCCTGGCCTGGGAAAGGCCCCCATACCAATGGGAAAGAACGTGGTTGAATAAAACGGGCCTCCTGCTGTGCCGACCTCTGATCCCTCACCTGTGACTGCGGAGGAGTTGCCGGGAGGGAGTCTTGGGGGCAGCACCAGGAGGTGCTGGCTTTGTGGGACAAGTGGAGGTGGAGCAGTGGTGACGTAGGGGCCGGAGTGGCGCCCCAGAACCCTTCCCCCATACCTGAAGGTGCTATTAGAACCAGGAAACAAAACCGATGCGCGCCGGTGGGCCAGTGAGACGGCCAGCCAGACGACGGCTCTGCCTTGGCCCCTCCTCAGACCATTCTGGGTGCAGCCTGCCAGTCGCACCTTCCTTTCTCCCCTGGCACTGTGCCCACCCCCCCACCCCCAGCAGCTCTATTCTTAGCTGCCCGGGTGTGAAGTAAACCCTCGGGTAAAGATAACCACGGCAGAGTCAACATGCAGCGATAAGCGGGGGCTGGGTCAGATCCGGGCCCTGGCGCCAAGGCCCCACCCGCCCCCTTCCCCGCCTCACCATTCTCTCCCTCCCGCTGCCTCTGGGGTGAGCTCCCCGCACCCCGGGAATGGGGAAATGGTTCTGGTTCCCTGGCTCCTTTGGGTCCACAGTGCCTGTGCTCTCAACCACACTGTTCCAGGGCCCGGCGCCTCCAGGACGCCCCGTCTAGGGCGAGACGCCCCCAGGCGGGGCGCTGCGCCCTCTGGCGGCCGCGACCGTCTCTCGGACATGCCTTGGGGTTGGAACCCACGTGGTTGGTAGGGCCTGCAGCATTAGGAGCCCCTAGCTTGGGGACCGTCCTCTTTCAGGTGCCATATTCCTTGGGATACTCCTGCACTCCCTGACAGCTGGGTGCTACGGGACTCTGCCACCCTCCACACACAGCGCAAAAGCTGAGAGCAACCGTCCACGCGTTCAGGAGAGGCAGAGACGTGCCTGGCCTCGCAGTTTATTGTTTAGAAACCATGAAAATGACAGCAGTTGCTTGGCACAGGCCTCCCAGGGCCCACGCAGAATGGCAGCAGAAGGCACCCTAGGCCTGGCCTGGGCTGGCCTGGAACAGCCCAGGGGGGGACACAGTCTCAGCTGGATCCCCGAGGGAGACTCTTGGCACGTTGGCATGGGTGCGGGACAAGTAAAGCATGCAAGAGGGGCAGAAGGAGCAAAAGGGGCATGCGGCTAGAAGGGAATCCAAATAAATAAAGTGGAGTGACGGGGACCCCTTACCCTTGCCAAGGAGTGCCTGGACAGGGTCTGGCTGAAAAGCCTGCCTGCCTTCAGGCTGTAGGTCAGGCTCAGTGGTGCAAGGAGCTCGGCAGGCAGCACACAGAGTTGGGCATTAGGCCCAGTGTTCCAGGCGCCACCCCCCACCTGCACCCCTGTGACCTGGGGGCACAGGGCCAGCCAGGTTGGGGAAGGGGTTCTCTCTGCAACTTGGGTAAGATGCCAAGGGCAGGGTCAAGGCCAGAGACTTGGAGGGTGCAGAGCACAGACATGGAGAGAGGGAGATGGGGGAGAGGCCCTGGGTCAGGAGAAAGGCCTGGGGAGACACAGACATGGGGTGTAGGGGTGTCTGGGGAAGAAGCTGCTGCAGGAGGGAGGGGACAGCCTGGTACCAGAAAGCCTGCAGTGGGGGCCCAGGACGGTCAGTCCAGCTTGGCAAAGCCCCCTATGGTGACCTTCCTCTCGGGCTTGGTGCCCACAGGCTCCTGCAGCTGGACTGCACCACCACCGATGAAGCAGAAAGCTGGGCACACTGGCCCTGAGCAGTCCAGGGGGCACTCCAGGAGCCCACGGAAGGACACAGCATCCAGGAAGGAGACTCGGCCCCGCTCATAGTCTAGGCAGATGCCCAGGCGGGGCGGCAGGGGCACCGTGCAGCTGGCAGCTGGCCCATCTCTCCCCGTCAGCCCCGCATTGGCATTTGCTCCAGACCCCAGCAGGATCTTGCCCATGCCAATGGTCAGGAAGGCAAAGGGTGGTGACGCCTCCACCGTGGCATCCTCGGCCCCGCTGTCGTGCCCGCTGTCTGGGTCATACCTGCAGGGGCGGGTGCTGGGTCAGGAGGAAAGTGGGGTCCCAGGGGGTTGGGAATGATGGGATGTAGGATGAGTTTGTGGTACCCAGCAGAAAGTAGGCTGAGGAGATGCCAGTATGTGTATGGGTCCTGAAGCAGGGGTTTGGTGAGAAAGGAAAGCTAACTAGCAAGAGGGGTGTGTGGGGGGGGGGATGAGGCACTGATAAGACAGGATGTGGGCCGGAAGGACATGCTGAGGAGAGGGCTGGTGGGGAGAAAGTTGGGGAGATGAGCAGCTGTGAGGTGGGTGTGGGGTGGTGCTGAGGCCCGATTAGAGTCACAGGCGTCACAGGAATGTGGGATTGGAACAGCCGGGTCTAGGAGGGACTTGGGGTTGGAGAGAAATCAAAGAAATGGGGCGTTGGGGATAGAGGGTTGGGAGTGGGGTGCCAAGGGAAGAGCCTGTGGCAGGGGACTTGGATGGGATGGTGCGAAGTAGGAGGCTGGGGATGGGGAGGCAGTGAAGACAGGCCTTTGGGGGAAAGGACTTCGGGATGCTGATGGCAGATGTGGCAGGGAAGGTGATGTGGAGGAAGGATGTTGGGAGTGGGATACCAGGGAGAAGGGACAGGCGGGAGGACCTAGAGATGGCTCGTCTCCGCCCCCCTTCCCCACCCCCACCTGGGAGCCCCGGACACCCTCCAGCTGAGTCTACCTTCTCCCTCCACCCCACACTGCCTCTGTCCTGCTTGCAGGGGCCCCCTCCCAAATTGTCCTTTCCAGAGGGGGCCTGACCTGGGGCTGATCACGTCAGCGGCGCCCTGGAAGCTTTCCTGAAGCTTGCTTTCCAGCCCGACGCCCACCTTGACCAAGTAGGAGGCTGGATCCACAGCGCAGGCCCAGTAGCTGCGGCCCTGGGTCACGGCGACATCGCCCAGGACCACGTCCACACTCAGGTGGCAACCGGTGAGCAGCCGCTCAGCAGCCAGCAGCAGGGGCAGCCCCGGGACGCTCCTCACGGCCCGCTGGTCCTTGCTGATGGCCAGGCGGTCTCGGCTTGCGCCCCAGCGGCCATCAAGGAAGAAGTGCAGGACTGGAAGGAGGTGGAGGGTTAAGACAGGGAGGACACACAGGACAGCACAGGTGCTGGGATAAGAGCCTGGGGGCTGGGGTGCCTCTGAACAGGCGGCAGGTGGCCAAGGGTCACTGGCTCCCCAGGAACAGGCAGGGGGCTCTGGGGGATAGGACATGTATGGGAAACTGGGATGGGGGCCGTGTGGAAGAAAAGAAGAGGATGCCAGATGGGCATGGGACCCCAGGAACAGTTTTAGTGTCACAGCTGCCTCAGGCTTCCTGCCACCTCTTTGCTGCGGTGGGTCCTGTACTGTGCCCCTGTTGTGCAGGTGTCCTGCCTGGCGACACTGCCACTTCACCTCCATCTGCATGCCTTCCCCCTACCCCCTGGTGCTCATGGCCCTACCTCTCATGCCTTTCCCTCAGTGCTCCTGCCATCAGCTCAGAGTCAAATTTCAGGAGTCACCTTGCTAATATGTTGCCAGCCCTCACTGTGAGCCCGACTGTGAATATGTTCCAGTCTTTTAAAAATTATTTTTGTTGATTGTTTTAAACAGATTGATTTATTTTAATTGAAAAGGCAGATCAGCAGAGAGAAGGAGAGACACAGCTCTTCCATCCACGGGTTCATTCCCCAAGTAACTGCAATGGCCAGAGCTGAGTAGGACAGGACAGGAACTGGCAACCTTATGGGATCCCAGCAGCTGCAAGGCAAGGATTTAGCCAGTGGGCTATCACACCAGGCCCAAATATGTTACAGTTTTAGTCTTCACAGCCACACTGAGAGATGGGTAGAAGATTGAGAAGAGAGTGAAAGCCTTGGCCATTGACACACAGCTGGGGGCCAGTGTAATAGCAATGAGTTAAGCCTCTGTCTGCAATGCCAGCATCCCGGGTGCTGGTTCATGTCCTAGCTGTTCTATTTCTGATCCATCTCCCTACTTGCAGTCTGGCAAAGCAGGGGAGGATGGCCCAAATCCTTGGGCCCCTGCACCCCTGTGAAGACCCAGAAGTTGTTCCTGGTTCCTGGCTTCAGATCAGCTCAGCTCTGGTCTTTGCAGCCATTTAATTAGAGTGAACCAGCGGATGAAAGCTCTATTTCTGTCTGTCCTTCTCTTTGTAAATCTGATTTCTGAATAAAAATAAGTAAAGTCTAAAACACACACACGGAGCTCCAGCTGTAAGAGGTGGTGCTGGGCTCTGAACCGAGGCAGCCCAGCTCTAGAGCCCATTTGTGGAACTTGCTGCTTCAGCCAGCTCCCTGGCATCCATCCAGGACGTAAGCCTCAGGCCCCAGCAGCCCCCATGCCCACCCGGCCATGCAGCCCTTCACATGCTCACCAGGTGCCGGGGGCGTGTGCAGGTGTACGTCCTCGCTATATTCGCCGTAGCCAGCCTTGTTGCAGCCGCGCACGCGCAGTACATACACAGAGCCTGTGTCGGGGTTCTCCAGCAGGGCGCTCGTGCCCCTCACCTCCTCCCGTCGTTGCCAGCGCGCTGGGCCTGGCTGGGCAGGCACATCTGTGCGGCGAAACTCCACAGTGTAGTGCCAGGCAGGTGGGGAGTGGGGGGGCAGTCGCCAACACAGGAAGATCTGGTCGTAAGCAAAGGTGCGCTGGGTGTCAATGACAGGCGCCTCAGGCACTGTGGGAGAGAGAGAAGGGGGTGGCTGGTCAGTGAGAGCTTGACCTCTGGCCTGGCAAGGTGGGCAGGGGTGGGTAGGAAAAGGGAAAGCAGCGGGAGCCGGGGGGGTGAGTGTGGGTGAGAGGAGACTGGGGCAAGACCCCCGTGGGTGCTAGGCACGGGCCAGACCAAGTCGAAGGAAGAGAAAGCAATAGGGAGAGTGCGGGGCTGGGGGTCAGGAGCCCTGGGCTCCATGCTGCTTGGTCTGCCACCGTGTCACTTCCTGTCTTGGGGCATCAGCTTCCTACTCTGTCCTACTCAGGGTAGCAGAGCAGGTGTATCATTCTGGAGAGAGGGAATGGGGGTCCTTCCAGTCTAAACACTCTGGGAGGTCGGAGGAACCTAGGGGGAAGCAGGCAAAGGCCACGGAACAGGACAGGGCTGGGACCGGGTGGGGGATGCATGGTCAGCAAAATGGAAAACTGGGAGACAATGGAGGGGAAAGCAAGCAAGCAAGCGGCAGCTTGTTGTGCACTGGCGGGGGACACGGAGGGGATGGGGGAAGGCTAAGGAAAAAGAGAATAAAGGCCCAGGAGAGCAGGAGTCAAAAGGTCAGAAGGGCCAGGGTAGATGGGGCAAGCACCTGCAAAAGGCAGAAGCAAGAGTATGGGCACCGGGTTCGTGGAAGAGCCAGGTGATTTGGGTGAAGGTGGGAAAAAAGGAAGGCCATGTGTGGAGCAAGGGGTGGAGGTCACACAGAGCTGCATGGGGGTGGGGTGGGGGGCCCGACGGGGGGGTGCAGGCCCCCCCGGGGCAGGGCCGCTGACTTGCCTGGGCTGCTCCGGAGCAGAGTCCGCGGTGGCCACAGCCTACAAACAAAGAGAGGGGGAGAAGCGGCGCTGAACGCGGTGGTGGGGATGGCGTGGCAGGGTGTGCTGGCTGGGAGGAGTGGCTGGCCTGGCCTGGCCAGGCGGGGCAGGAGGCCAAGGAGGTCCCTGGTGGGCACTGCCCCCCCGGGCCCGCTGCTGGAGTTGGAAAGGGAAGGCTGTGCTTGGGTGTTAGGGGCCTGGCCACCTCCTTACCTCGCAGGAAGCTGAGCTCGGTCAGCAGCTTCATCTCACGCCCCACGTCCAGTTGACAGTGGCGGAAGGAGGAGCTGGCGGCTGGCCGGAAGGCCTGGAGGGCCTCAGTAGCCCGGGCAATCCTGGTGGAGGGGCGCGAGAGGTTCAGGCACTGCCCGTCCCCTGCTGCCCCCAAGCTTCGCTGTACTCAAGAGACCCCCCCCTCAGGGTCCCAGCCTGCTAGCCAGAAGCTTTCTAGACCCTGTCTTGGGGGTTGGCTCCCACCCTAATGCTCTGCTCCCTGCCCCCCAACCCTCCAGGGAACCTGTGCTGGGGACCACACCCCTGAATACCTGTTGTGCAGTTGCTTGGCTGCCTGCACAAAGCAAGGCTGGTCTGTCTCTTTCAGCACTTCCTGGGCATAGCCCACTAGGCCTGAACCATCCAGCAGGCTCCGGTGCTCCTGGATCTGGGCGCTGAGACGGGCCAAACGCTCCTGCTGGCACTCCTCAATGGCCTGCAGCAGGGACGCCCTCTTCTCTTCCAGCACAGCCCCCAGTCCCCGCACCAGCTGGGACACCTCCTCCTTGGCTTGCTGACCACTCACCTGCCCAGGGAACAAATCCCGCCCCCCAGGGATGCATGACTAACTCTGCTCTCCTTGGAGGTTAAACCCCCCTCCCCACTACCCTGTCCCTGGGATGCCACGCCAGGCCTAGGCTCCTGCAGGTGCTGGGTGAAAATCCTAACTGCCCAATCCAACAGGCACAGGCTCATGGCTGCCATGGCCCCCTACCCTTGGCTGGGCAACTCAACCCCTGCCAGTGTGCGCTAAGCTCCTTGCAAGCTCTTGTCACACTCCCAACTGCTTAAGCACCCTTCCAAAGTGAAGGATTATACTAATGCGCCACCAGCACCTGTGTCGTGCCTGTGGTCTGTCTCTGCTGGCGCAAAACTGCATGCTATCCTGGCCAACTGCATGCTAGCCTCGGGGCCCCTGAGCCACAGTGGCCTCATCCCCCGTTGCACAGCGTCATGGAGGACTGGCCCGCGGCGCTGGTGTCCCCGCCAACCTGGTTGAACCAGAATCTAAGCAGGTGTGAGCGCGCACGCACACACACACATACACACACATACACACCCCCTCACCCCCAGCGGGCTTCCTCAGCTTGCAGCTAGGTGATTGGGTCTTGCCTACCCACACCCCCTTCACGCCAGCACTCCCTGGCAGGGCCCAGAGCCCATCTCGGCGAGCCTTCCTCCCTCACCTCTGTGTGCCTCACGGTCTCCTCCAGCTCACAGATCTGGTTCTGGACCGTGTCCTGGTTTCCCAGGATGTATGTCAGGCTCTTTGTCAGTTTGTCCTGAGAGGGAAAAAAGAGACAGGCAGCACCCCTGGCCGGGCAGGAGCCAGCGGCTCTGGGAGGAGGTGTGGGAAGGCATGAGTGTGAGTGAGCAGTTCAACTCAGCCGGGAAGGGGGCTCACCTTGAGAGCTTGGTAGGCACTGAGGACTGGGGTGATTTTGTGCCCACTGTGGGTACGGCGGACCCGGCAGAGTTGGCATACCAGCCTTTGACATGTCTTGCAGTAGTGGGTCACCTCCTCCTTGTGGTCTGGGCACATCAGGCCCTGGGGACACAAAGAACAATGAGAGACAGGTAGTTAAAGAGAGTGTGAGGGGCTCAACTACAGCCCTGGGGCAGTTAGCAGCCCACCCTCTACAGACAGCAGGGGAAGGGAAGGCAGCCGGTGGTGTTCCTCCGCGCCACCTGGTGGTGGGCGCTGGCATCTGCGAGAGCCGTTGCCCGCGGTTTCCAGACCTTGGCCCTCTGTCACCAGCCTTGCTCCTCCCTCCACCCATCCAGTGCCCCACCATGTGCAGGAACAACAATAATGATGGAAATTAATCTCAACCCCTGGTTGATATTTAACCTGTTCTATTCTTGTTGACTGCCTGACTCCTAACACTTACATCAGCCCCCCCCCACACACACACACTGTGGTGCTCCATAAATATTTGTTAGAGGAAAGAATGCGTAGGGGCGAATTTATGCACAGATAACACTTGTGAGTGAACAAATATTATTCCCAAGCTTGTCAACAACCTTGCAGGGACAAATATTGCAGGACATACACCTCCCCCATCCACCCACCCATGCCAGGCTACCAATGACAAGAAGCTATGGGTGGGGCCCGGCAGCGTGGCCTAGCAGCTAAAGTCCTTGCCTTGAACGCGCCAGGATCCCATATGGGCGCTGGTTCTAATCCCGGCAGCTCCACTTCCCATCTAGCTCCCTGCTTGTGGCCTGGGAAAGCAGTCGAGGATGGCCCAAAGCCTTGGGACCCTGCATTCGTGTGGGATACCCGAAACAAGTTCCTGGCTCCTGGCTTCAGATTGGCGCAGCACTGGCCGTTGCGCTCACTTGGGGAGTGAATCATTGGACGGAAGATCTTCCTCTCTGTCTCTCCTCCTCTCTGTATATCTGACTTTCCAATAAATAATAAATAAATCTTTAAAAAGAAAAAAAAGAAGCTATGGGTGGCTCCATCCAGCAATTTGGTTCCACGGAAAGAACCCAGTGGCCAACCCCTGCCTAGCTCTGTTTTTTTGCTTTTTTGTTTTTAAGATTTGTTTTATTGGAAAGTCAGATATACAGAGAGGAGGAGAGACAGAGAGGAAGATCTTCTGTCCAATGATTCACTCCCCAAGTGAGCACAACGGCCAGTGCTGCGCCAATCTGAAGCCAGGAGCCAAAAACCTTTTCCAGGTCTCCCACATGGGTATAGGGTCCCAAGGCTTTGGGCCATCCTCAACTGCTTTCCCAGGCCACAAGCAGGGAGCTGGATGGGAAGTGGAGCAGGTGGGTTAGAACCGGCGCCAATATGGGATCCAGGCGCATTCAAGGCAAGGACTTCAGCTGCTAGGCCACAGCACTGGGCCCCTAGCTCTGTTTTGAAACCTACCACCACGGGACCAGAGTGGTGGCATGCAAAGCAATCTTTCACCTGCAGTGCTAGCATTTCATATGGGCAGCAGGTTGAGTCCCAGCTGCTCCACTTCCCATCCAGCTCCCTGCTCGTGGCCTGGGAAAGCAGTGAAGAACAACCCAGAGCCTTGGGACCCTGCACCCTCATGGAATACTGGGAAGAAACTCCTGGCTTCAGATCTGCCCAGCCCTAATCATTGTGGCCATTTGGGGAGTAAACCAATGGGTGGAAGATATCTCTCTTTTTCTCTTCTCTCTCTATATCTGCCTTTCAAAAGAAAAAAAATCTTAAAAAAAAAAAAAAGAATGAAACCCATTACCACGCCCCTCCCTCCACGGAGCCAGCTCACCTTGGGGCGGAAAGAGAGGGTGGGCAAAGTGGGCTCATGCTGGGCCTTCTGGGTGCCCCACGGATGGAAGAGCTTGAAACACTCATTGCAGAAGGTGGCTCGACACTCGGTGCAGCCCTTGGTGGCCTCCAGGGGTGGGGGCTTACACAGCTGGCAGAGGATGGCGCCGCCTACACTCACACTCTGGCGGTACCGTTCCACTACCCGCTCCAGGGTGAGGTTCCGGAAAAGGCCCGCCAGGCCACGCTCGCCCAGCTCCACATCACCCTGGCAGGCTGGGCATGGGAACATGATCGCTTGGGGGTGCAAGGCACCTCGTTTCCTCCCAGGGTACGTCCCAAAGCCTGTCAATGGAAGGTAAGACGGGGTGAGAATTAACAGCCAGTTGGGCTAGGGACGAGGGAGTTTGCTCCATGACAAAACAGAGCTGTGGGCCGGGTCAGAGCTCAGCCTTCAGTGCAGCCCACGTGAGCAGGGCTGCCAGTCCCCAAAGACGGACAGAGAGATGTCCTGCTCCAGCGGACAGATGCCCGGCTTCCACCTGCCTCACCCTGCCCCCACCCCAGCAGGCCCCAGCCCCACCTGACTTAAGCAGTCGGTCCAGGCGGTCTGGCTTGGGCAGTGTTCTCCGGCCAAGGCGGGGGCTGCGGGTGGAAGGCGTGGATGCAGGAGAAGTGGGTTCTGAGCTGGGGTCCCCACCATGGCCTAGGTAGCCCTGCTGGCTCAACACCTCTCGGGCACAGGCCTGGCACACGTTATGGGTACAGGGCAGCACCAGGGGTTGCTTGTACATCTCCTGACACACTGGGCACAGCAGCTCTTTCTCCATGTTCTTCATGCTTGTCTGCGGAAGGGGGCGGGGAGCAGGAGGCAGTCTCAGGGCTGGGGTTCCTGGGCCTGTCTCAGCAGGCCCCTCTCAGCTGCCTTCAGTGTAGACCTCATGAGTCTCAGGGAGGGGCCGGACCACCTCCCCTTTGCCCAGTCCCTGCTTCCCTCCTGCAGAGGCGAGCAGCGTGAGGGCCTCCCCCACCTACAGGCCCCACCCTCATCCCTGGGCCGCAGCAGCCGGCGCTGGCACCATCTCACCTGCCTCCATCCCTCCGTGTCAGGGCCGCCTGCCCCTGGCCTTTCCCTCAAGGGCACCGCCCATTCTGCAGCTCCACGCTCACCGACGCCGCCCCCTTGCCTGACACCCCTCCCCCGCGGTCGACCCCTCCCCAGTGCCCGGCGCCGCTTGCTTGCCATCTTCCCGCTGGCCCCTTCGGTCCTCCGGGCCTGTGGCCGCTCCAGCGGCCATTCCCCATCCTTCACCTCCCCATCAGTCTCCTCTAGCCCCCCTCCCATTCCGACTCCGTCTCCTACACCCCCACACACACCCACCCTCACCGTCTGGCCCTCCCGCCCCCTCCCAGCGCGGCAGCCGGCTGCAACCCCCTTCCCGAGCTTAGGGAAAAACAAGAACCCCGCCTACTCGCCCCCGGCCCACCGGAAGTGTCCCTCCCCCTTCTGGTTGCAGGGGGTCCTCAGGCTCTGCCCCACCCCCCCACCTCACCTTGGACCCTCTCTTCGCAGCCATCCCGGTCAGGGGCGCAGCTGACACAAAGGAGGGAGGAACAGGGAGGGAGGGGGGAGGAAGCAATGGGGGGGAGCAAGGTTGGCACCGCCCCTGGGAGAGCCGGGCCCCGGTTGCCATGACAACCGCAGTCTCGCAGGCAGCCCTGGGTGGGGGTGCGATGGGGTGGGGTCTTGGGGAGGGGTCCAAATCAGGCACTGCACCTCGGGGCGCCTCCTCCGTCGCCTCCCACCCAGCCCCCGCCGTCTTGGAAGGCCCCCGAGGTCTCCCAGGCCCCCTTCTCAGCAAAGAGCTGCTCGGCCCGAAAAGCCCCAGCCCGGTGCCCCGCGGGCGGCTGCCCCGGCCGGTGCGCGGGGTCTGGGCAGCTCCATGCTCCTCACAGCGCAGCAGCCTGTCGCCTTGGCGGCACCGCGCTCCGGGCTGCGGAAAGGCAGCCTCTCGCAGTTGCATCCCCTCCGCCCTCCCCGTGATCGCTGCCAGCCCTAGCCCCCTGTCTGCATGCCGGCATCGTCCTGGATCCCACCTGCTCCACGACCCCTCAACGCCCCCTCCCGTTTCCCCTCGACCCCACCACCTTAACTCACACTGATGCGAACCAGTGCATCCATGATGGAGGTGAAGGTCTGCATCTCCTCCCCCTCAGCCATGGCCCTCCCGCGCCCGCCCGCCCCCGGCTGCCCGATCCCGGCTGCGGCTGCGAACCCGGGGCTCGAGGCGGGAGCCCGGTGGGGGTGTGGGGAGAGGGTGGGGGTGAGACGCCACTGCGCATGCTCCAGGGACCAGCCTCGACCAGCGCCCGTCGGGGTTGGGGGTGGGAGATTCTCCCCACGTGGTTCTGGAAGGGCGATGGGGGTGGGGGGACATGCTGGGGGGCTGAGGCACCGCCATGTCTCACACTGGCTTCTAGTCTTGCTTGTGGAAGCAGAGAGGTGGTTTGCAGAGGGAGCTGTGACCTGGGTGTCAGCACTACATGGTGGGTTGGGCCAGAATCCACGGGAGATGCCGCGTGGGGCAGGAAGGTTCGAGGCGCAGGCACTAGAGACGACATGCATTTAAGGGAAAAAGGCAGGCAGAGGAGGGCTGAGGCAGGGAGGTGAGCGCGGGGAGGTGAGCGCGGCTGGCGCGGGGAGCCCGGGCTGCACCGGCACCGGGCGGCCCAGGACGCGGCGCTCCGCCACGCCGTGCGTCCTCCCTGCCGCCAGGGGGCGCCGCGCGTCCTCCCTGCCGCCAGGGGGAGCCAGGGCGGCTCGCAGGGCGACGCGGCGTGCGGCCTCCCGGCCCCCGACGCACGCGCACAGCCGCCGCCGCCGGTTCGGCTCCCCGAGTTCGTGGCCAGAGGCGCCTCTTGGACCCTCGGAGGGGGGCATGATGGGTAACCGGACGGCGGGGTCCCCGGGGGGCGGCGTGCAGGGGTCGGGGGTCTTTTCTCTGGGTCCTCTCCGGCAGCGCTGACGTGTCCTGGGTTGCAGGCGGCGGGCGTCGCCTCGGGGACCGGGGAGTGGGGGTGGAGTGTCCGAGGCGTGTGTGTGTGTGTGTGTGTGTGGTGGGGGGTCGTGCTCACACAGCGGCCGCTGCCCCTCGCCCCCTGCAGTGGTGGGCACCGGCACCTCGCTGGCGCTCTCGTCCCTGCTGTCCCTGCTGCTCTTCGCCGGCATGCAGATGTACAGCCGCCAGCTGGCCTCCACCGAGTGGCTCACCATCCAGGGCGGCCTGCTGGGCTCCGGCCTCTTCGTCTTCTCGCTCACTGTATCCTGCCCGCGGTGGGGAGAGGGGGTGGTGGGCAGAGGGGAGGGCGTTGGGCTTCCCGAGGAACCCATTGGGCGCTTGCCTCCACGTTGCATGCCCTTCCTCCCTTAACTACCGCAACCCAGGCCTTCAATAATCTTGAGAATCTTGTTTTTGGTAAAGGATTCCAAGCCAAGATCTTCCCCGAGAGTAAGTAAAACTCGTGGGTTAAGTATTTGGGTGGGCCTCAGCTCAGTCACATGTAGAGGAGGTTGAGGTTCATCTCATTTTCAAACTGCACTCACTCTGTCGGAGCACAGTGCTTGGAGCACAGTGCTTGGGCGCACGGGTGCGGCCTGATCCAGCCAAGGACATTAACATGCCCCCTCCCCCTTATCATTGTTTTATGCCTGGATCCTGTGAGCTCCACTCTCGTATTTGCCCATAAAACATATAGTAGGTTAACATGCTGTCCAGCCTCTCTCCCCCGCTCCCCTTCTCCTGGTGAACTTTGTCAAGGAGAAGTAAGTTTACTAAGACTGAAGACACGCAACACCTTGGGATCCAGCACCTTGTCTGGCTGCTGCAATGGAGGCTGGAAGACAAGGCTTCTGAAAGCAGGCCCCCACACCCCTGCACCTCCCAGGGACAGCGCCTAGTGTTTGGACTGCATCCTGGAAGGCAGTTTACTTAGTCCACCCCCCTCTCCCGGGGATGTTCAGGAAGGGGGTCCAGAGGTGAAACACCAGAAATGAGCCAGGTGTGTTTTAGCTGAGAGCAGTGGTGAAGAGTCTAAATATTACAGCAACAAGAACCCTGATCAAATTAGAATGAGTTCACTGCTTTTTCATTTGGAGTAATCCTTCCATTGCTGCTTGGATTGGTGATTTCATTTACTTACAGGAAAGAGCTCACGGAGCAGGTGAGGCCGCAGAGTCAGATCTAAGGAACCAATGCCACGAGTCCCCAGTTCCTGGGGACGGGGTCTCCTGTAGGGTCTAAGTGGGGCCCTCTCTGTCCAGCCCCCGGGTGGCCTTCATCCTCCTGTCCATCAGGGCCCAGCACTTCTCCTTTAGACCTCTATTGTTTTCTTGAGAATGTATTTATTGGAGAGGCAGAGTGACACACCCAGAGAGAGAGACCTTCCCTCTGCTGACCCATCGGGGGTTCCCAGTGGGGTTTTTCAGGGACTCAAGCCCCTGGGCCATCTTGCTGCATTTGCTCTGACGTGGTTTGAGCACATCTCTGGCGATGATTTAATCCCCCAGGCCTCTCTGTCCTATGTGGTTCCCCATGTGCAGTCTGCATTTGCTTCTGGAGGAAACCACTGCTGGGGGACAAAGTCCTCAGCCCTCAGCCTGCCTGCCTGTCTCCACATTCTGCCCTCCTGTCCTGGGACATGCTAAGATCCTTTCCTGCTCCCAGCCTCTGACCCATGGCCCCCACTATGGTCCTCATAGTCTGGCTTCTGTTGGAAAGGCCATTGCCCCCTGTCATGGTGGGACCATCAGGCTCAGCACCATGAGCTCTGCCATCGTCTTCTATTTTCTCCTGTACAAGAGAAAGACAGTTTGTGGTGGGGGGAGCTGATTGAGATCTGGGGCAGAGCATCAAGGCACACGCAGGCCATCCGAGGTCCTCCTTCCACCGTTAAGCTACACTCTCCCTCAGACGGAGGGCCCCAGGGTGCTAGACTGTACGGAACGGTGCCTGGTAGAGGCTGTTGTGGCACAGCTGGTTAAGCTGCTACCTGTGATGCTGGCATCCCACTTGAATGCTTGTGGCAGTCCCCAGCTGCTCCACTTCCCATCCAGTTCCCTGCTAATGCATCTGGGAAAGCAGCAGAGGATGGCCCAAGGGTTTGGGTCCCTGCATCCCTGTGGGAGACCCGGAAGAAGCTCCTGGCTCTGGGTCAACTCGGCTCTGGTCATTGCAGCCATCTGGGGAGTGAACCAGTGGACAGAAGATCTTTCTGTAACTCTGTAACTTTTAGATAAACAAATCTTTAAAACAGAAGAGCAACAGGTACCTGGTGTTCTGGGGCTCACCACTCCCTTCCCTTTCTGCCCCCCTAGTTCTCCTGTGCCTCCTGTTGGCTCTCTTTGCATCCGGCCTCATCCACCGAGTCTGTGTCACCACCTGGTATGTACTTCGGGGGAGGGACCTGGCAACGTGTCCTCTGGCTCCAGGCCCTGGCTGTAATGGTGCCAGGAGGTGGGCACCCACCCCTGCCTCTTGCGGCCTGCCTTCCTGGGCCCTAAGCCCTGCTCTGAATTCTCTTCCCAATGCTGATGTCCACCCCGGGAGGCACCGGGCCAGCAGCACACCTCTGATGTCAGCCACGACCTCTCTCTCTCTTTCCACATCATAGCTTTATCTTCTCCATGGTCGGTCTGTACTACATCAACAAGATCTCTTCTACCCTGTACCAGGCAACAGCGCCGGTCCTCACCCCTGCCAAGGTCACGGGCAAGGGCAAGAAGAGAAACTAGGCCTGAATGTCCAATAAAGATGGTTGTTTGTAGCTGTGTGAGTTGTTGCACACTGGGGGTCTCGTTGGCCACAGCTGGTTGGGTGTTACTGAGTACTGAGACAGGTACACTATTGCACACCTTGGGCATGGTGAAGGGTTCATTTGTATGTCATTTACTGGATTGGCATGGGTGCCTGTGAGGACCTTCTCATGGAAGAGAGATGTGTGAATGAGCAGCAGCCTTGACCTTCAGGGAAGGGAAGAAGGCCAAGGAGGGCCTGCACGAAGGCCTGGAATGGGTGAGAGCAGTAGTAACGCACCAGCCCCATGTGATGGCTTAATGGCTACATCCTCCCCTCACAAGCACCTGGATCCGAAATGGGTGTCAGTTCTGGCCCGGCTGCCCCACTTCCCATCTAATTCCCTGCTTGTGACCTAGGAAAGCAGTAGAGGACGGCCCAAAGCTTTAGGACCCAAATGGGAGACCTGCACCCACCTGGGAGACCAGGAAGAAGCTCCTGACCCCTGGCTTTGGATTAGCTCACCTCTGCCCATTTTGGCCCAATAAAGACTGATGGGGGTGCCCAGCGCGGTGGCCTAGCAACTAAAGTCCTCACCTTGAAAGCCCAGGATCCCATATGGACGCCGGTTCTAATCCCGGCAGGCCCATTTCCCATCCAGCTCCCTGCTTGTGGCCTGGGAAAGAAGTCGAGGACTGCCCAAAGCCTTGGGACCCTGCACCCGCCTGAGAGACCCAGAAGAGGCTCCTGGCTTCGGATTGGCAGCACCGGCCGTTGTGGTTGCTTGGGGAGTGAACCAATGGATAAACGATCTTTCTCTGTCTTTTCCTCTTCTCTGTATATCTGCCTTTGTGGTAAAAATAAAATAAATCTTAAAAAAAAAAAAAAAGACTGATGGGGTAGGGCCTGGCACTATAGCTCAATGGTTAAATCCTCACCCTGCAAGTGTAGGTATCTCCCATATGGGCACTGATTTGTGTCCTAGCTACTCCACTTCCCATCCAGCTCACTACTTATGGCCTGGGAAAGCAGTAGAGCATAGCCCGAAAGCGTTGGGGCCCTGCACCTGTGTGGGAGACCTGGAAGAAGCTCCTGGCTCCTGGCTTTGGATTGGCTCAGCTCCGGCCATTGTGGCCATTGGGGAGTGAACCAGTGGATGGAAGATCTTTTTCTGCCTCTCTGAAAATCTGATCTGCCTCTCCAATTAAAATAAAGAAATCTTAAAAAAAAAAAAAAAAAGACTGATGTGGTAAGGGGAAGAACTTACGTTTACATGACAAGGACTTGCACGTTAGAGGAGCCTGAGTTAGGCAGGAAGCATGGTGAGTCCCAGGGGTTCGGTCAAGGATTAGAGGCTACTTGGTCTCCTGGTCAGGGCCCCAGATTGTCGCCCTGCTGAGGGAGTGCTGGGCAGTTCATCCGAGTCGCCTGCAGAGGGCGCCGCGAGCTCGCTGTTCCGCCGGGAGGGAGGGAGCCACCGCTGAGGGCTGACGGGGCAGAGGCCGCTGTCCTGGGGACCGAGCCACGTCTGGCCTCCTGAGAGGCCCGAAGCAGAATCCGGCTCTATTCTGCCCGGATTGGGTGTGGGGACGCAGAGTCTAGGGCAGCACCGAGCCTTTCCTGAGAGGGTGGTTCTTCCAGATGCTAACTCACCGGCAGTGGTTGCAGAAAGTTGCAGGGGTTTTCGGGAAAGAATAGGTGGTCCGGGGTGGACCCTAGGCCTATAGAGAGGTTAGGCTAGTTCTACGGAGCAGTGTCAACTCTTGACCTCTTCTGACAGGGGGGCCGAGTGCCAGTCCAAGTGGGTCACAGCCCCTGGGACCCACACGCCTTGGGGACCATGTGGCTTGGATGGGCCAGGCAGAGCATCCTTCTGTGACTCAGGGAGGCCGGGGTGGCACCTGGGAGCAAGCCCAGAGCCGGCCGAGTCCAAGGATCTGGGCAGCTGCTATCTTCTGCTGTTAGAGTGGGCCAGGAATAATGACCTCTTTCTCCTGGAGTGGGTGCATTTACAAGGCAGGATGGCGCCGACCTCCTCGCCACCCCGCCTAGGTCCATCGTGGTGCCTGGTTGCACCTGACCTACCAATTAACCCTGGCAGGGGTATCACAGCCACCTAATCACCATCATTAAGTAAGGGGGCGTGAGGACACGGTAACTTGAGGAGACCTGGGGCGGTGCGAAGGGCAAAGAGCTAACTCCTCTCTAGGTCCTGGGGCTCGGCTCCACCCTGGAGGCCAGGGGCCTGGGAGAGAGGGGTGTCCCCGCCCCTGGAAGACAGAGGGAAGCCAGATGTTTCCTCCCCGCTCCCTCACACGTGGCTTCGACAACACCGCTGCGGGAGCTCCGGAAACAGGAGTAAATAAAGCAGGCTGGAGGGGGCGGCGGAGGCTGCGCCCCTTGGGCAGGAGGTGACGCCCCCTGCAAAAAAACGCGGGGAGGCGGTCAGTGGGAAGGTAACACCTAAGGGGCCGGCTCCTCCCTAACCCGGGCAGAGGCCAGAGTTCCCAGGGCGCTAGCACGACCAGCATGAGGGACGCCTGGCATTTAGGGCATGCCAGCGGGTCAGGATGGCGGGGACAGGGGCGCCAGGGCAAGGCAGGGAGGGGGAGTCTGCGCCGCCGGGCCTTTGGCTCCAGCCCTTTCCGGCCCTTATTGTCCGTGGTGAGAACAGGAGGCCGTCGCGTTCCCACTGCCCGCCCCCTCCTGCTCGGCTCCCTAGGGGGGCCCGGGAAGGATACTGGGAAACAAGAGAGAGCCGGGGACCCGCCGCGACAGAGATGACGAGACACGCAGAGAATGGTACAAAGGGGGAAAGCTTCGGTCAAAAGCCGGCACTGAAGCCCATTGTGAGCCGGGCGGGGCCGGGCGCGGTGGGGAGCCGGAGGCCCTGGGCTTCTCCCCTCCTCCGGCTTTGGCTTCTTTTAGGGTCCCCAAGAGAGCTGCCCCTCAATCAGATCCCGGGGGCGGCACCGTGGAAGGAGCGGCTCACTGCTCCCCTGCAGGTGGGTTTCAGCTGAGGGAAGTCCTCCTGTGGGCTGGCAGGAATGGCCCCCGGAGTCCTCGCAGAGGCTGAGAGCAACAGCCTGTGCCTGCACCTGCGTCTTGGTCTTCCTGGCAGGCACCCTGTCAGCAGGGGTGAAGGACTCCAGAAGGGCTCAAAAGGGAAGACAGACATGTTTAGTCGACAAATTAACAGTTAAAACACACACACACACACACAAACTCACAATGCAACGTAATTATGCCAACCACAAGATCATTACCGGGTTTATGGAGCGCTCTCCTCCGCAGCGGTCCAGACTTCCAGTCCTGTGACAATGGCCATGCCAGACTCTTTGGAGTGTTTGAAAAATCCCGTCGTAAAAGCTGAGTATGTTTTATGACACATCTCTGCTTCATCAGGGCAACACATGGATGTGACATACGGGGCCTACGTCTGCGATCCTTTGTGACCATAAGGCCCGAGCCCCTAATGGCCCTGCTGGCCTAGGAGGAGGCCTTTCCTGAGAACCCTAGCAGCCAGAACACGCCAGAAGGAAGGGCTGGGCCAGGTGCCTGGCCACCACTGAGGGGCTGCGTGAGTGTACCAGGAATGACCCTTCCCCTCCCCACTTCCTGCCTGCAGCATCCAGGCCCAATTCTGACTCAGGGCTGCAGGTTTCTATGCATGCAGGACTGTGGGCAAAAGGCCACACCGGGGAACCTGACGTGCCTGTGCTTCCAGGTTGGGCTCAGACACACCTGCCAGGGGAAGGTCCCCGGGCAAAGTGGGTAACCTCCCTGGCTATAAACCAAGGGCGCCAATACCTCCCTCAGGTTGTGGTGATGAGGAGTCTGTAAATGATGCAAATGTTGTTTGTTTCCTGTGTAATTACATTGTCAAGAGCCTTCACGTGAGCTTTTGCCAGCTGCCAGTCCCCGTACTGCACAGATAGCTGTGATTTTATACTTTTTTATTCAAAAGACAGAGATCTCTCACCCACTTGGTTTAGTCTCCAGATGCCTGCCACAGTCTGGGCTTAGGCCAGAGCCAGGAGTTTGAAACTCAATCCAGGTCTCCCATGGGGGAGGTAGGGACACAAGGACTTTGGCCACCCCCTGCGGCCTCCCAGAGTGAGCATCAGCAGGACGCTGGAATCCAGCCCAGGTGCTGCTGTGCAACACAGGTGTCCCAGGGATGGGTCAGCCCAATCATCAAAGACCTGCCTCTCTGTTTGATGCACTCGATATTTGTTCTTGTGCCCCACCACTGGAATGAGCTCCATGGAAGACAAGGCAGCGGTCTGTTTTATTTACTGCATCAGTGCTTGGCACACAGTAGGTGTTCAATACATGCAGAGTGCAAGAAAACCATGGATTCTTTAGTCATACACCACCACTACACTCTGACCTCTTTGCAGAAACTTACCTTCTATCCAGCAGCCCCATATTCCAAGCTGCTACGTCCCTAGAAAGAGCCAGATGTTTCCCCAGGCGGCTACCCAGACTCCCTCCTCCCTTAGGCTATTGTCCTTTCCCATCTTGGTCTCCTCCGGGTCATCTTCCCTGGAAAACCGTGACTTACCCACCCAGCCCCTCTCCAAGCAGCTGCACACTGTCCCCGGGTCACCATCACTCTGTCCTGCCCGCCTGTAATTTGGCAAGTGTGTGTTTTGGTTGATTATATGTGTGTCTGTTCTGTTGCCCCTGGGAAACTGTGGGTGCCCTGAGGGCAGTGGTGCTGTTAACACCACCTGACCTCCAGGACCCAAGGACTTTTCATTACTTTGGCACCTATGGCTACCCCCAAAGTCCTACCACCTGCCGTGACACAGAGACACACAGGGCGCTGCCCACAGCTCTAGGCAGCAGGACCCTTGAGCCAACACACTACCCCCACCGACATACCCCCAATGCGCAGGCTACTACTAAGGGGGTCTATAACCACATGGCTCTGGCCAGCGTTTCCACCCTGGTCTCCTGCCACTTCCCCCTCCCCTGCCACCCTACGCAGCATTCCTTGTTCCAGAGAGAGGCTTGAAGGATCTTTGCCCTTGAACTTGCAGGCCCCTGTGTTTCCACTACGTTCTCTCCACTCACAGTTCTTGCTCACCTTCTGGGGTCTCCACTCAGCCCGTCCTCCCCCCACAACAGACAGTCTCGCCCTCTTTCATGTTCTGTTGAACTGTGCATGTCCTTCTGTCCGCTAGAACCGGGAACTCCGGGGTATGGAGTTTGTGTCCCTCTGAGACCAATGCTAGCCAAAGCAGGAAGTCCTCTATGGGGCTTAGCAGGCTGTGTGGAAGGTGCCTGCGTCAGAGGGGCTGCGAATGCCGGTGTGCAGGGCAGAGTGTGTGTTGTGGGGGCAGGGAACATTGCTTTGGGAACAATGTGTGTCCTCAGCCACAGGTGGAACCTGGAATGGCCCTTCGGAAGGAGGCATTGACACCCACGCACGCCTCCCAGGTGGCACACTATCCCCGGGCCCCTGCCCACAGTGTCATGTTCAGCTGTGACAGTGACGTGGTGGCCAGTGGGAAGCCCACTGCTGGTTGCTCGGGTTGGCCTCACTGTCTTGGCTGGCTCCAGGTGCTCCCTCCTCATTGTATGCTAGATCACTATAAGGGATTTGCCTTATCCCACTTGAGTCTGTTGCCTGCATCCGGAGAAGGAGGCAGTACATTGCAGCAATTAAGTATGCAGGCTCAGGAGTCTAAGTGTCTAGGTTGTGCCTCAGTTTCCTCATTTGCGAGAGATAGATAATAACAGCAGCTGTTTCGCATGGTGGCTGTGCAGGTAGAGTGAAGTAGGGCATGAGGCACTTGACACACGTGTCACCTGCCTGTTCCTGCACTAGAAACACCACTGGCTGAAACTGCTCAGAACACATAGTTCTATTTATTGATCAATTTATAATTTAGTTTTATTAGAAATGCAGTTACAGAAAGAGAGATACACACACAGAGAAGGTCTTCCATCGCTGATTCACTCCCCCAAGTGGCCACAACAGCTGGGGCTAGATCAGGCTGAGGCCAGGAGCTAGGAGCTTCTTCTGGGTCTCCTACATGGGCACAGGGTCCCAAAGTTTTGGACCATTTTCTCTGGTTTTCTGAAGCTCATTAGCAGGGAGGTGCCAGAGCCAGGATTAAAAGAGGTACCCAAGTGACTTGCTGTCATCAAAGACAGCAGCTTAACTTGCTGACCCATGATGCCAGCCCCAGGTATCCAATTTTTTTTAAAGATTTATTTATTTTTATTGGATAGTCAGATATACAAAAAGAGGAGAGACAGAGAAGAAGATCTTTCACCCGATGTTTCACTCCACAAGTGGCCGCAATGGTCAGAGCTGAGCCAATCCAAAGCCAGGAGCCAAGAGCCTCTTCCAGGTCTTCCACGCAGGTACAGGGACCCAAGGCTTTGGGCCATCCTTGACTACTTTCCCAGGCCACAAGAAGGGAGCTGGATGGAAGTGGGGCTGCCGGGATTAGAACTGGCACCCATGTGGGATCCCAGTGAGTGCAAAGCGAGGACTTCAGCCATTAGGCTACTTTGCCGGGCCCCAGGAATCCAATTTTTAAGCCATCCTGGCCACTCCCAGGGTCTCTTCAACCTGGAAGCTAAAGGCAGGAGCTGGAGCCAAGCGCTTTATTAGGGGATGCAGATGCCCAAACTGGCTTGCGCACCTCCAGGTTAGACAATTGTGCCAGAGCGTAGCTTCAGGTTGACTGATTTTATTGCAGGAATTTGTTACTAACCATTCCCCTTCTCTGCCTCTGCTTCTTCTCTCATGCATGGGGACATAAAACCACTCATTGTAACCAAAGCAGGGTCACACAGGGCAAGGCACCACGTAACAACCTCTAGTGAATGTTTATTTTTCTGTACTAATTACTGTGACTTTATAATTTACTACTTAATTTTATGTGTGTAGTGGGCCAAGTCCCTCCTCACTGCCTTTCCTCAAAACAAAAACAAAAAATAAGACAACTCTGGCTTAAGACAACACTGTCCCAGGCATGGGGCAGTGGTTAAAATGCTGGCTGGAGGTGGCAGGGAAGTAGAGGAGGGAAGTATGCAGCACAGTAGCCTAGTAGCTAAACCCTAGCTTTGTATGTGCCGGGATCCCGTATGGGTGCCGGTTTATGTCCCAGCTGCTCCACTTCCCATCCAGCTCCCTGCTGTGGCCTGGGAAAGCAGTTTAGGATGGTCCCAGGCTTTGGGACCCTGTATGCATATGGGAGACCCAGAAGAAGCTCCTGGCTCCTGGCTTTGGGTCAGCTCAGTTCTAGCTATCAGAGCCACTTGAGGAGCGAACCAGCAGACGAAGATCTATCTCTGTTTCGCCTCTCTGTGTATCTGTGTTTCCAATTAAAATAAATAAATTTTTTTTTTAAATGCTGCTTGGGGGCCTTGGTAGTGGCCTATTAGATAAAGTCACCTGCCTAGTTGCCATTACATGTAGCACTGGTTCAAGCCCAGCTGCTATGCTTTCCAGCTCCCTGCTAAGGGCCTGCATACATATGGGTCCCTGCATCCCCAAGTAGTCCTGGAAGAAGTTCCTGGTTTGGGCCTGGCCCAGTCCTGGCTGTTGCAGGCAGTTAAAGAACAAACAGATGATAGATATCTGTTTCTTTGTCTGCCTTTCAAATCTAGTTTATCCTTATTTATTTATTTTAAAGATTTACTTATTTTTATTGGAAAGGTGGATATACAGAGAGGAAAAGCGACAGAGAGGAAGACCTTCCGTCTGATGGTTCACTCCCCAAGCGGCCACAATGGCTGGAGCTGAGCCAATCCAAAGCCAGGAGCCAGGAAACTCCGCCAGATCTCCTACACAGGTGCAGGGTCCCAAGGCTTTGGGCCATCCTTGACTGCTTTCCCAGGCCACAAGCAGGGAGCTGGATGGAAGGCGGGGCCATTGGGATTAGAACTGGCGACCATATGGGATTCCAGTGCTTTAACCACTGCACTATTGCTCCGGGCCCCAAATCTACTTTATTTTTAAAAGAGTTATTTGGGTCCCCATGTGGTGCCCTAGTGGCTCAATTCCTCCCTTTGCATGTGCCGGGATCCGATATGGGCACTGGTTCTCATCCTGGCAGCTCCACTTTTCATCTAGCTCCCTGCTTGTGGCCTGGGAAAGCAGTCAAGGATGGCCCAAAGCCTTGGGACCCTGCACCTGTGTAGGAGATCTGGCGGAGTTTCCTGGCTCCTTGCTTCAGATTGGCACAGGACCAAACTGCAGTCACTTGGGGAGTGAATCATCGGGTGGAAGATCTTTCTCTCTGTCTCCTCCTCTCTGTGTATCTGACTTTCCAATAAAAATAAATAAGTGTTTAAAAAAGAAAGATTTGTTTAGATAGATGGATAGATAGATAGATAGATAGATAGACAGACAGATTTGTTTTGGGGCCCAGCGCGATGGCTAAGTGGCTAAATTCTCTTCTTGCAAGCACCAGGATCCAATATAGGTGCCAGTTAATGTCATGGCTGCCCCACTTCCCATCCAGCTCCCTGCTTGTGGCCTGGGAAAGTAGTTAAAGATGGCTCAGAGGCTTGGGATCATGTACCCATGTGGGAGACCCGAAAGAAGCTCCTGGCTCCTGGCTTTGGATTGGCTCAGCTCCAACCGTTGTGGCCAATTGTGGAGTGAATCAGGGGATGGAAGATCTTCCTCTCTGTCTCTCCTCCTCTTTCTGTATATCTGCCTTTCCAATTAAAAAAAAAAAAAGAATAATAATAAAATGAATCTTTAAAAAAAAAGAATGATACTATATTTTCACCTTATGGTAGCGTTCCCTAGTGTGCTCCAAGCTTTCTACAACACTCCTGGCGGGGCCCCAGGGAGCCGGGAACCAGCAGCGCAGAGCACGACCCAGACCCAGATTTTCCAAGTTTGCTGAGCAGAGCTGTCCCAGGGGCGTCGGATCCGCGCTTCCGATGACCTCCTTGAGAACTACAACTCCCAGCAGGCCGCGCGGAAGCGGAGCGTGAGCGGCAGAGGACTTCCGGATGCTGACGTCGGGGCAGCGCGGCGAGGAGACCCGGGCCGCGGTAAGGTTTGCTAAGGGGTTTGAATGGAGGGAGAGGGCGGCGGGGATGGCGGGGTTGCCGTGTAGAGAGGGGACGGGGAAGGCAGGAGACCTGAACTGTGCTTTTTCTCTCCGCAGCGACCATGACGAAGTTAGCGCAGTGGCTCTGGGGACTGGCGCTGCTGGGCTCCACCTGGCTGGCTCTGACCACCGGAGCCCTGGGCCTGGAGCTGCCGCCCTCCCTCCGGGAGCTCCTCTGGCCGCTGCCCGCCTACTTGCTCGTGTCCGCCGGCTGCTACGCCCTGGGCACGGTGGGTTACCGCGTGGCCACGTTTCACGACTGCGAGGACGCGGCGCGGGAGCTGCAGAGTCAGATCCTGGAGGCCCGCGCTGACTTGGCGCGCCGGGGACTGCGCTTCTGACGGCCGGACGTCCAGCCCACCCCGTCCCCGGGGCCGCCCACGCCCCCATTAAAGAGCAATTTATTTTCTAGCTTGGTGTGGCTTGAGTATGGGGAACGGGAGTGGAAAAGGCTGGAGTGCCAGCGGCCGGGCAGGGGGAAGTGGCAGAGCAGCCCCCGCCCCTTGCAGCCCGACGTGGGGCCAAGCTCCCCTCCCAAGAGCTCCCGTTCCGCCTTTTGGGTTTTTAATCTCATCAGGAAGTCTCATTTTCTTTTTTTTTAAGATTGATTTTTTCTGGGTCCGGCGGCGTGGCTTAGTGGCTGAAGTCCTTGCCTTGAACGCGCCCGGGATCCCATATGGGCACCGGTTCTATCCCGGCAGTCCCACTTCCCATCCAGCTCCCTGCTTGTGGCCTGGGAAAGCAGTCAAGGACAGCCCAAGGCTTTGGGATCCTGCACCCGTGTGGGAGACCTGGAAGAGGTTCCTGGTTCCTGGCTTCTGATCAGCACAGCACCGGCCGTTGCGGCTCACTTGGGGAGGGAATCTTTGGGCGGAAGATCGTCCTCTCTCTCTCTCTCCTCCTCTCTGTATATCTGACTTTGCAATAAAAATAAATAAATAAATCTTAAAAAAAAAGATTTATTTTTCTTGGAAATACAGATAATATTTATGGAGAGACAGAAAGATCTTCCATCCACTGGTTCACTCCTCAAATGGCCACAAAAGCCAGAGCTGAGCTGAGCTGAAGCCAGGAGCCTCTTCCAGGTCTCCCACGTGAGAAGTGGAGCTGCTGGGACATGAACTGGTTTCCACATGGAATACTGGTGCTTGAAGGTAGAGGATTATCCTGTTGAGCCATGGTGCTAGCCCCAGCCTTAGTACCCTTTTAATCCCTTCTCACATCTCTCCAACCATTGGTTTTCTCAGGTTCCCTTTCTGATCGACCCTTCACCCATCATGAATAAAGAAAGAGCTGGGATTGCCAAGGGTGGAGACCATTTTATTATAAGGCACCTTCCAAAAAAATCACCTGAAGATTAAGAAAGACAATTTCTAAAGTGTATTAAAAAACCAAAAAAAAGCCTTAGGCATGATTCATCCCCCAGGTCCCACCTGACCGTCTAAGGAAAGCTGTTTCTTTGAACGCTATGAGCACCCAGTGGCTGTGTGCCCATAGCCCGCTGCACCCATGGAGCTGCTGGGCAGCGGCACCAGCCATCTTTGGTATCACGTTGGCGTGGAGTTGGGGAGGGGACCACTTCAGGTTTGCAGGAGCCGGTAGTTTCTGTCTGGCTCCTGTGGATACTTCCAGAAGAGCCAGAAACGGACAAGGCTAGTGAAGATTCCCGGGAGGTTGGGCACCTGCATACAGGAGGAGACCAGGAGCCAGGTTCCCACCCCACACAGCTGTCACCCTGTCCCCTCTTCTGCTTACCATGATGTAGGGATCTTGGAGTCGGAACCCATAGAGGGACCAGGAGGCTGAGGTAAGGAGGGTGGCAATGGTGAGCGAGAAGGAGAGCCGCTGTGTGGATTTCGTCTGCATGACTTTGGCCTGTGGGGCAGGGTGACAGGAACAGGGTCAGGCACATCGCCACCTGCTCTGCCACCTAGCTCTTGTGGCCTTGCCTCCCGCTCACCCACCTGTCTCCCTGCAGCCTTTGGGCCTCCCCTGCCCCTGGAGTTTTTAGAAACCACAGTCCCTGACTCTGGGAGGGAGCTGGGCCCTTCTCTTGCACAACCCCTGGTGGCATAGCCTCCCCTCCCACCCCCAGCTCACCAGGTCAGCCAGCGGTGACAGGTACATGCTGATGGTGAAGATGCTGCAGAAGAGGCCCAGCTGCTGGAGCCGGGCATCAGGCTCGGGCACCAGGAGCCAGAAGTAGCCATAGCCCAGCAGCAGGAACCCCAGCAGGGATGCGGTGGGCAGGAGCACGGCACGCTGTGGGCAAGAAGGCACCTACTCTTGCAGGTGCCCAGAGCACCCTTGGACACCCACCCCGCTGCCGGGAGCCACCCATTCTTGCTCTCTCCCGGGCTCTGAAGGAGATGCCACCTTGTATGGTCTCTTTCCCACCAGTGGCCTGATGGGAGAGTCGGATCCCCACAGCGCTGGGTGGATCTGTGTGTGAGAGCACAGCGCATCACACACACACACACACATGGTAGTGGCTTCACAAGTGCTTGTGTGCTGGCATGGGGAAGCTGAACTGGACATGTCCCTCTCAGGCTCTGGCTTCTGCTCAGAGACAAAGAGCCCTTTCTCCTCTGCTCTGGGTGGCCCCGGGCACCCCACAGCAATGGAAGTAACAGGTGCATCTGAGCAAGCTGCCTTCATGGAGGAAGAACTGCAAGATGGTGGGGTGGGGGAGCCTTCCAGGAAAACGGGCAGTGCCAGTCTGTTAGAAGCTTCCAGGCAGCAGCCTTGGCCCTGCCAGCATGGCAGGACCGAGTGGGGCGGGGTAGGGTGGGGTAGGTGGGTGCCGAGCCTGGGGGCCCTCTACCTTCTGCGGACAGTAGCGCAGGTACACCAGGATGTACAGGGTCTGAAGCACGGCGCCCACTGCATTGACGAATATGAGTGTCCCGTCTCCCTTCAGGGTCCCATAACTCAGCCAGCCCAGGTTACTGCATGGGGAAGGAGGGGTACGGCCCGCAGGTGGCAGACTGCGCATGGGAAGCCAGACCTGCCCCTCCTATCTGTCCTCCCACCTCCCTCTGGTAGCCGTGGCCCCTTCTCACTTGACATCCGTGGTGAGAAAGGGCAGGAACTGGACGCTGTCCACGCTTCGGGTCATCTGCATGTGCCTGAGGTCCGAGCTGCAAGCAGCCCCCAAGGGAGGGGTGAGGTGGGGGAAGCGAGAACCAGGGTGCTGGGAGGGGATCAGCAATGCCTGTCACCCTTCCCCAATAACCACAGACTCCTGCCCACCCATCCACCCAGCCAGCTGTCCTGTCTTCCTCCCTCGGGCCGAGTGGCCACCTCGCTCGCCCTTGGGTCGCAATTAGGCTCGACCAGTTTCTATTTTGCCCCCAGGATCCGCACGCATCCCGCTCGGGAATGGGGGGGGCATGGCCACGTCTCTGTCCCACGCGAGAGTCCTGACTTCCTGGTCCTGCCCCAGCCCAGCCCGGCCGCGCTCTCACAGGCCGGTGGAGAACATGCCGAGGGTGAAGAGCACACAAGCTCCGGAAAGGAACGAGTCGAACACGCCGCCCTCCTCCATCCCGCCCGACTGGGATCCCGCGCCCGGACGGCGGCGCCCGGCTCGTTCCGCTCAGCCGGAGCCCGCTCGGCCGGAGCCCCGCCCCCCGAGGACGCCGGAGCCCCGCCCCCGACGACGCCGAGCCCCGCCCCCGGAAACAGTCTGAACCCCGCCCTCCGCTAGCGCTCCGGACCGGAACTCGGCCCCGCCCCTCCGAGAGGCCGGCCCTGCCCTTGGCCAAATCAATGCTGACTGACCGGTGTCCAGCTCCTGACCTTGACGCTGCCATCCCTGCCCATTCCTGTCCCAGGGCTCTTTGACAGCCTGCCCTCTCGCCCGCCACTTTCACACTCTGCTTCTCCCTTGGAGTTAGATCCTCCTGCTCAACAACCTCAACCCTCACGTTGGCACAGGCTGCGTGCTGCACAGCCGACTGCAAAACGAACCACTGGCCTAACCACGCCGCAGCCCGCCCCCCATCCAGGCTCTCCACCAGAAACTCATCCCTAGGCTTGTCTGAAGCCTCTTCCCGGTCTCTCTTCTCAACAGGGGTTGCCAGGAAACACCCAGCCAGACACCCGCCAGGTCCTCAGCGCCAAGGCCGGACATGGCCAGTGCACGGGGGGGCCTCTCACGCCAGCTGCCCGCGCCAAAGCTGCTTGGCTGCTGGGAACTTCCCTCCCTCCCTCCCACGCGAGGCTCTGCTGGCGGGGCCAGGGCGGGCCGCATGCCTCATCTGGCGTTCCCTGACTCACCCACAGCATGAGTACCTGAGGAGTATGCCAAAGCTGAGGAGGTGGTGGGGTGGGGTTGGGAGCCAGCCGTGAGGAGCATTCCTGCCCCCTGACAGCCCTGGGGAGCAAACACCTGCCATTTTGGCCTGCTGAGGGCTAGGTATGCTAGGGAGAAGGGGAGATGCCAGCACAGCAGCTTGTGGTGTAACAAGAAGCCTAGCAGGTGGTGGGACCCACTGGCCCCAAGGAAGAAACACGCAGGCATAGAAAAGTACATACAAAACAAAACCAAACACATTTATTCTGAGACAAAGAATATGGTATATAAAAAAAACATCCTCCAGTTGTAGAAATGACACACAATGAGTTTATATACAGGTACTGTACACGTGGACCCTGCCACACTATAAGGAGTCTGTACATACGGGCACTGCCCTGACTGCTACATATGCTCTGAGACCAGGCTGGCATATCCCCCTGCTGGCCACAGTTCTGGGGTGTGCCACCCCAGGTTGGGGAGAAGGCAGTGCTGTGCTGCGAACGTCCTCTGGGACAGCGACGTGCTGGGTTAGCCCAAGCGTGCTGCCTCTCCCGTACCTGGCTCCCCTTGCCTTCGATCTGTCCATCGGGGCGTCCTAAGCATCTTGGCCAAGCTCAGTGTCCATCGGTGCAGCCCTGAGGCTCTTGTTCAAGGGGGTCACATCAGCACAGCTTGTTTCTTTGGCTTAAAGGCAGCAATGGCTGGGAAAGGGACTGACCTCACTTCTTCCATCACTCTGAGGCGGAGGCAGGAATGGCGCTGCCGGGCTGGCCAACTTCCTTTGGGTTGAAACCCTTAATACTGACCCGTTTTGAGGCTGCTGGGTGGCAGCTTGTGCGTGGGGTGGGAGGGGCCCCAGGACAGGTGAGCATTACCTGCCCCTAACCCCCTCACTCTGGTTCCAGTTCTTGAGCTGGGAAGGGTGGGCCCCCTTCAGTGGCTTTGCAGCAGCAGCAGCAGCGGCAGCAGCAGCACAGCCCAGGCAAGTGGGAAGAGGCGGGGGGCAGCGCTGTGACCGATGCTGTGTAGAACCCGCACCTCCGGGTCATCTGCTGGGAGTCTCTTCTCCTGTGGGTTGGCATGGGCTTGAGGGCTGTGAGCTGAAAGATAAGCAGGGCAGTAGGTCAGGAACTGCATGGGGAAGGCAGAGGGGAGGGGGGGCAGTGAGATTCCTGCAGTGTCTCAGGTCACTAGGCTGGTCCCGGGCATGGACATGAGGGAGATCCCCAGGGCTCTGACACTCACTGATTTTGCCATTGACGGTCACCTTCAACCTCAAGCAGAGGTCTTCTTGATGGTGAATGGGTTTGGCTGCAAGACAGACCCAAAGGGTTTTAAGGAGAGAACTGTTAGAAGACAAAAGCCTGACATGCCTCTGGCTGGTCCTACTGACTTGGTTCCCCACTCATTTTTCATTCCTTTCTCCCTTATAACTTGGACTGGGATCCTTCACAGTTTTTGTGTATTTCTTGCACAACTTTCAGCCCCACCACCAATTCTTGGGACCGACCCTCCAGCTTGTGGCAGAGGCAAAAACCCTGCACACATTCTGTCCCTTGTTCCTTCCTGCCTGAAGTTGGGAGAAGCTTTCAAAGTGCTCTCCACTTGAGCTGGACCAGTATTTACGTCACCTGCTGCTAAACCAGGGCCAGGGGTCTAAATCCCTGTTACACAAAGCTCATCCTATAACTCGTGAAACTCACACATGATAAACTCAGGATAAAGACCCAACTCCTTCTCACTTTCTACTCCTCCAGGATCTGTCCACCTCCCCCAGCCCATCTCCCTCCCTGCCCATGTCCTTCCAGCTCCACCTGTTGACTCCGGGAAGTTCCCTGAAGATGTCACGGTCCTCTGCGTGTGTTCCCCTGTGCTTGGCCAGCTCTTGTATGCTGCCCCAGCCCGCCTTCCCTGAATCCCCTTAGCCTGGCCTAGCACACGCCTAGGTCTCCCAAGGCCCCAGTGCTCACGTCTGCCACACCACATCTATCAACCTCTGTGTCTTTCTTTCCAGTGTCCAGGACACGGCTACATTTCCCCAATCTCTGTGCCCAGGATGGACTTTCCTTGTGCGATGTGAATGACTGGTCGGGGCCCTCCAGTTCCCTTCCTGGGCACTCACAGATATAGTAGTAGCTGTGTCCTTCCTTGAACTCCTTGCCTAGAGTGAATGGTGTGAAGCGCTGGAACTTCTCTGACAGCTTCTCTGGGCCGTGCTTGGCATTGGGCTGGTTGCACTGCCAGCGGACTTGGTCTTTGGAGCGGGGCTGGCATTGCTGGTAGTCCTCCTGCTCCACCAGGTACAGTGTGTAGCGCTCCATGGCAGCTTCTGCCACAGAGTCATCCTCGTAGTGTGGACAGATGATGTCTAGGTAATCACTCAGGCGCACGTGCACAGTGTAGTCCTCATCCCGGAACCTGGGCATGCGCAAAAGGAAGGTGGTCAGCATGCAGCCAGGCCAGCGCCCTGAGCCTCCTCAGGTTTACAGAACTCCTCATGTTACTCACCAGCCCCTCAAAACTGTCTGCAGATTGTCCACTTCCAACGTGCACTTGGGCTCTTAGTGCCCTCATCACGCATCCTCCCGCCGCACCCCCAGCACTTTCCACAACCAGCCCCCACCCCAGCAACAGGGTTTCCTAAGTATTTCTGTAGCTCCGCCTTCACTACCTTGTACCCAGAAATATCCCCCCCAAATCTGTTCTATGGGTTGCTCCTTTACATGTCACGAGACCCTGTGGGCCAGGATCCTGGGAACCTATCCCCTTTAGCGTGCTGGCTCTGGCCCCACACACATTTTCACTTCTCTCATCCTCTCACACTTCCCTGACCACACACTTATCCCAGCTTTACTTCCCCCAAACCCCAGTCCTAGCCCAGGGCCACAGAGAACCCCCTGAAGTCTTATCCCTCTCTCGTTATCCATCCAGTTCAATCTGCCTTTCTGGCTGCCCTGGGCTCCAGTCCCGCTTCTTGCTCGGGGGGCACCCCTAAAACATCCCTTCATCTCCAAAAGCCACTCATTTTCCCCAGGGAAGGCAGCAGCCAGGCACTTCCCCTTCTCTGTGCTCCAGGTGAAGCCAGCTCCCCTCTCCCAGCATTCCCTATCCCAAAACCCAAAGGCTCCAGCCTGACTACCCACTACTCCCTCCAAACCAGCTCCAGACACCTGGCTCCAGGCCTGGGTGGGGTCCTCCAGAGGGAAAGTGCCTCCCCTCAGCTGGCTCTCCAGGCTGGTCAGCCATCTGGACTCCCCCCAAGGCCTGCCAGCAGGCGTAGCCACTGGCTTGCTTCAGGCCAAAGGCGGTGAGTGTGGGTGATGTGGGAGGTGGGCCCCCACCTGTGCCCAGGCAGCAAGGGGCACCCCCCCCCTCACCAAAGCTAGCAGGGAGGCCTGGCCTCCCCCCTTCGCTTCAGGGGGCCAGGCGCTCAGACTGGACTCGCCGGCCCCTCCCCCACCCCAGGGGAAAGAGAGAGAGAGGAGCTGAGAGAGGCTTTTAAAATTCCTCTCTGGAGAGATAAACATAGAAGCCATTTCGAAACAGGTATTTCAGCTCTGGGCCTGGCGTCTTTCCCCGTTCCCGTGACGGGCACTGACTCACACCTCCTCCACCTCTGCTACACACCTCAGTACTCTGGGAAGCTTGTGGAAATGTCATGGGGAGGGGACTTGAGCCCCCGGGACCCCAGGGTGCCATAGCACCTGCTTGTCCCACACTGCCCCTCAGGCCAAGGCAGCCTTCCGTGGCCGGTCTCCATGAGCAGGCTGCTCCCTGCCCCTGCAGCAGCGCCAGGGCCTGGCTCACAGTGGCACCACCCTCTTCTGGATGCTGCCCCTGCCCGGGGCCTGGAGATCCCAGGGCCGATGCCCACTGCCCTGAGTCACTTATGGCAGCCTCACAGCCGCCCAATTTTTGCCACCTCATCTTTGCCCCCAAGCTGGGCTGCCCAGGGACTCCAAACACGACTGGTTTCTCTCTAGTCTAAAATATGGCTCTCTCTGTGTGTGTGTGTGTGTGTGTGTGTGTGTGTGTGTGTGTGTTGCGGGGGATCAGGGGACTGGGCAGAAGCTGTGGGTGGCAGGAACCCCCTCATGACTCCCTCCAGGGTGTCCAGTCACTTCTCTGGACCTTCAGTTCACTCTCGCTCCCCCTGGGGAAAGAGGGGGGCCGTGGCGTCAGGGAGGGCAGGAGGGGGGGTGAGGAAGAGGCTCCTTCCTGAAAGAGAGGAAACCTGGGAGCTTGGGAACGGAAAAGGCCAGCATCCCCCCTCCCTACTCCAGGCTTCCTGGCCCCTCCTCCTCCTACAGCCGACACCTGGCATGGACATAAACAAGGACTTTGCTCTTTTCCCACTAGGAGGACTAGACTGGGTCAAGAAGGCAGAGAGCAGGCCGTGCTGAGTGGGGAAGAAGAGGGCTGGCCAACTACCCTGGGGCCCCAGGGTTGGACAAGAGGGCATTGCCCTTGGTGCTTGGCAGCTGCCCCACCACCCCCCACGCCTGCCCCTCCCCAACAAGTTATGGACAACAAACCCCAGCAGCAAGGCCACGGGGTGTCCCCAGAGAAGTGGGCATAGTCTTCTCATTGGGCAGTGGGGCAGAGATGGGGGGAGGCCAGCACGGGCTTAGGGTGGCCTAGAGGAATGAAGTGTTTCCAGTGACCCCAAACTGCCCACCCCTCCGCACTCCATCCTACCCCCCTCTCCTGCTTCCCCACAAATGTTGTTCCCCTAACTTCAGAAAACTCAAGGGCAAGAACAAAAGGTCCCAAGGAACGTCTTCCTCCAAGTGCCAGTCGCCTCACAGTCCTAAACCTGCCCAGGAGAAATTAACTCTTTCCTGCCCGGAATCCCTAGTAATCCTTTTAACCCCATTCATTCCTTCAGAAGCTTTCCCTGCTTCTCTCTTTAATTCTACTGCCTGAAACTCAGACACAGGTGACCCCCTCAGCTGGCCCAGGCAGGGGGTCTCATCGCATCAGCCCCGCAGATCCCTTGTAGGGGGGTTCTTTGGGGTCTCCTTCAAGGCTAACACCCTCTCAGCCTTCCAGAGAGGCCCCTCCTGGGACACACTGAGCGCTCAGTTCGCACCACCAAGCAGCGCTACCTGTCAGTACCGAGCTCCGGGTCCCTATGGCGAGGGGTATTGAGGTTTTACTGGAGGGGGAGCTTAGGGCAAGGAAACCCAGGGAGGAGAGTCCCAGTTGGAGATAGGAATTGCACAGCAAGCATGTCTCGCCCCAAAGTGAGAGGATCTGCCAAAGGGAAGGCAGGGGAGGGCAGACCCGGTGGATGGGGTGAAGTGGGGTACTCTAGGTTCCGAGGGCTAAGTGCGGGGAGGAAAAGTTGCAGCCACCCTCCCGCCTCTGCTTCTCTCTTCTCTCGAATGCTCAGGTCCCGGACTGACCGGAGCGCGGGAGGGGGGAGGGTTAGGGCAATGCCAACCGGGCAGCCAAATCGCCAGCGGGAGACTCGGGGCTTACTTGGGATTTGAACTGTTCCAGAAGACGGTGTGGCGGTCCGCAGCGGCCAGACTGCAGCACAGACCCAAGAGTGGCGCCCAGAGGTACTCCATAGCGCGAGGCCAGGCCGGGCGGACACGCGGCTTGGTGGAGGGAACTCCTCAGGGTCCGGGATCCTTGCAGGGCTTTCTCTCGGCGGCGCACACTGCACCGCGCGCTCACCAGCTCTGGCCCCCTAGGCCGCGCGACTCCGCCTTTTGGGCCGGCGCCGCCTGACACCCGGCCCCGCCTCCGCCCCGCCCGGCGCGCGGCTGCCCCGGGCCGTGGGGGCTGGGACGGTGGAGGAGGGGCGCAGGGCCGGCGCGGGAGGAGGCCCCCTCGGCCGCCGCCGCAGATTGCTCCCTCCTGCCTCCCTCCCTGCCTGCCACGGCCGAGAGCTGCGGGTCCGCTCACTTGGTGGCCTGCGTGGAGCTTTCTATGGCTTGTTAGCACCAGGCGCGTACGAGCGTGCAGAAGGAGAGCGGCAACTCGCACGTGCCGGCCTGCAAGCGCGCTGGAGCGCTGGCCCCGGCTTCGCAACAGCCGGTGCTGTCCCCTCAGGCGGGGTGCGAGGCTGTTGATTTGCGGCTGCCTCCCGACTCCCACCCTCACCCCGCCACCGCCCCGAGCCTCGCACACCCCAGCCCGGCGCCCGCGTTCCCACACTTGCTCTGAGCGGCGCCGCCCCTCCCCGCACACACGCGGCTGTTTGTTTTTGTTAGGTTTGTCAATGTTGTCTTTGTTCAAGAGATTGTGTCATCGCCGAAATGCCGGGAAGAAAGCGCCACACTGTGTGTGATCGAGTGTGGAGCGTGTCCGGCCGAGTGCTGAGGGTGCTCTCCTCAGCGCTTGTGCGCCGGAGGGCCACGCGGATCCCGGGCTCGCGAGGGGTCGGTCCTTGTTTGCAGATGCACCAATGGCACACTCGTGTGTGTGTTGTGTGTGTACAAGTGTGTTTGTGTGTGACAACACACATGTGCCCTGCGGAGGGTATGTACGGGCTGTGAGAGCCTAGGTTCAAAGGATGACAAGCTGTCTCCACACATGTGTATGTCTGGCGTGTGTGGCGCGCAAATATGAGGCGCCTGAGCAACAACCCAGCCACATGCGTGGCAGCGCGTGGATCTCTGCCACCCGCAGATGCTAATGTCCACAGGCCGCGAGCCGGGCGGAGGGGGAGGCGGGCGGCGGCCCCCGGGCGGGGCGGGGGCGGGGTGGCGCGCGCCAGGGTCTGGCCCCGGCCAAGCGGGACTCCTAGTCAGCCGAGCCCCAGGAGCCCCGCGCCGTGTAAACAAAGCCGCTGGAATTCGCCTCTCCAGGCTCTTCTCCGCGCCGGGACCTGCTGCCGTCTGGCGAGGGGGAGGCGAGCACACGGTGTGAGCTCCCCGGTCGAGAAGGCAGGCAGGTGTCTGAAGAGGCTCACCGGTGCCAGCAGCTGGGGAGCCCGCGCGCGTCTGTGACTGTGTGAGCGCCTCTCGCTCGCGGTGGGAGAGGCTGTGTGTATCCTCCTCCCCTGCGGTGCACACCACCGGGATGCCACAAATCTGGGGCTCCTGGCCGGCGCGGGCCCAACTTTCTCGGTTCCCAGGCTGTTTCATCCTTCTTTTACGGCCAGGCCTGGCGACAGCCCCCTGTAATTACGCGGAGGCCGGACGCCGCGGCGAGTCCGGCGCTGACCCCGGCTGGGAGGAGCCTGGAGCCGGGGAAGGCCACCACCGTCCCTCCTCCTCGCCCCGGGAGGGCTCAGGCCGCAGGAGGCCGGACTCGCGGTTTACGATAAATATGAGTATGTGCCCAGCGCCAACTAGGTGGAGGGCCAGGTAACCCCCGCGGCCAGGTCAGGCCGGGTTCGTAACACTATCACCCCTGAGCGCACCTGCCCCAGGCGACGTGCCTGGCCCCACGTTGATTCCAGGTGTGGCCCACTCCTCCCCCAGGGACCAAAGTCTACCCCGGGCGGCACCTCACGCGCCTTTGGCTCACTTGGGAGGACACCTGAGCGTAGGCTTCTCACGTACACCACTCCCGGCAGGTGTGGGGTCCCTAGGATCCAAGGGATTTTGTTTTGGCCCAGGGCCTCGAGCATCTGTGGTGCTGGTAGATAAGTACTGCTGGAGCGAGTAAAATCACTGTTGGGTAAAGGTGCTTCCCTTGCTCTCCAGCGATGCTGGTAGATGAGCTAGAGAGGTGGCCATGGGCTTGCGCTGGACCCCCTGGTGTCTCAGGCTGCTGGGTCACCCCAGGTGCGTGTGGGGTCCTGCACCACGGTGGCTGGACCAGGCAGGTTTGGGCTCGCTGGGCCCAGCCTGGCAGAACTGTCAGCACCTGCCCTGCCTGCGTCGAGGGCTGAAGTTGACTGGGTCGGGGACACAGAACCCTCATGTCCCTGTTTTGGCGCTGTTTCCGATGCTCCCATTGTAGGACTTGAACCCTGCTCTTCACAACCCACCTTACTTTGTGGGGTGGGTGGGGTTTCATCAGCCCAAATGCAGTGCCCCCAGGCGCCCACTGTTGTGATGGGACCCGAAAGAGTGAAAGTGAATCTGCGATCACATTTCTGCCCTCGGGGACTTCGAGAACTGCTGGAGTAAAACACTTGCCCCCAGCAGGAGGAAGCCCTAGCCCTAGGGCCAGACTGCAGACCCGGAACGCGCTGGCCTGGCCCAGGGCCTGCCCGCAGGGCGGCGACGCCTGGTGGGCCGGGAGCGAAGTTGCATGCAGACTGTAGACGGGATTTCCACTCGCGCAGACCTCACACTGGGCCCCGTCCGCCACCCGCACCCCTAACCCTGTCCAGCCCCGCCCCCCACTAGCCTGCCCAGGCGGGTCTCAGCTCGAGTCTTGTTTTGAGGCCACTTCTCACAGCTCAAAGCTGTGCGCCCCCGGGCAAACATCTGTGCTGGCTGACGCGTCTGTCTGTCTGTCTGTCTGTGAAATTCCCTTCCAGAGTCCTGTCTGGGAATTCCTGAGAGGCCTGGTTAACCCTTTCAGTGCCCTGGGGGAGGCCTTGCCGCTGGAGGGAGGAGCTGAGCGTCTGTGGAGGCAGTGTTTGTGTCCTGCCTGGGTTGCTTGCTGGATTGCTTGCAGGGTGTTCTGCGGTTTGGGGTGGAGAAAGCCAGAGCCCCGAGGGCCCCCGGGTGCGTCTAGCCTGGCTCAGTCCCAGAGGGCATTTCTGGGTAATGGGGTGAGGCAGCAAGAGGAGGGACAGAACCTGAGCACGGAGCTACGCTCTGCCATGCTCTGCCACACTCTGCTCAAGGTCACTGTGAAAATTCAAGTTTATGTTTCCCACTTTTCCACTGAGCTGTGGGCACTTCTCAGGAGCTGAGGAACACAGCCCAGGAGGGTGGGGATGGGGCAATCTCGGCAGATGCTGGCAAGTTCACCCCTCTCCCACCAGCCCAAATTCTGTTGGCTAGATTTAGAAGGTGTCTGTCATGCGCAGTGCTCAATTGTGTGCGTCTTCTCCCACCTTGTCATGCCCTCTTTGTCATACCCTCTGTCATACCCTCTTTGTTAAAAAAATATATATATATATTATATATATATATATATATATATATATATATATATATAAGTTATTTGAGAGAGGAAGAGAGCAAGCTCCCATTTGCTGGTTCACTCCGCACATGGCCAGCTCTGGATCTGGGAACCAGGTACCCAATTCCATGTGGATAGCAGGAACTCAGCTGCTTGAGCCATTAGCTGCTGCATTCCAGGATTCAAATTAAGTTAGGAATGGACAGCGACAGGTGCTGTGGTGTGGCAAGTAAAGCCATCATCCCCTATAGTTGTAGGTCCAAGTCTCTGCTGCTCCACTTCCCACCCAGCTCCCTGCTAATGCACCTGGAAAAAGAGCAGAGAATGACCTAAGTGCTTGGGACCCTGAAACAAAGAGAGAATCCCAGAAGAAGCACTTGGCTCAGACCAGCCCTCCTCTGGCCTTCATGGCTATTTTGGAAGTGAATAGGCAATGGAAGATCTCTCTCTGTCTCTCCTTCTCTCTGTAGATCTGCCTTTCCAATAAAAAATGAATCTTTTAAAAATAGAAATAACAATTCTGTGGTTGATTTCCACTCAACAGGGATGTATGTGAGACCCACCTGCGGGAGACCGGGCTGTGAGTTGAGACAGGGCGGGGGACAGCAGGCCAGGGCCTGGCTCTCAGAGTCTGTGCGGGGTGCCCACCCTTATCGATCTGAAGATTTTCAGGGAAAAGTTTGTGACACTGCCAGACCAGAGCCAGATCTGCTAGTCCAATGCTTTTTACTGGGGGTCACAGTGACCTGACATGATCACTTCTGCCCCTCCTCACTTCCACAGAGAAGCAAGTGGGGAGAAGGTAGACGTCTCCCCTGGGGAAGAAGAGGTTGGGCAAGCAGTGGGTAAGAAGTAGGAGGATGAGGGGAGCGGTGACTAAGCCGAGGGTGGGGAGGGGCTATGTGTTACAGCCTACTCACTGCCTAATCATTCATCTTAAAAGTCTGTGCCAAGGTCCTGGGGACACTAACATATATCCTTGCCCTGAAGGAGTCTAGTCTACCAGGGCAGGTGCATAATTAAAACGAAAGATAAGCACTCTAACAGAGATGTGAGTGGTGCAACAAACCCACAACAGGCCCGTCCATTTGTTTGGTGTGGGGAGGAGGACTTTGGAGAAGGAAGGTTTTGAAATGGGTTTTAGAGGATATCAGACAATTCCCATTCAGGGATGTAGGGATCAAGGGCACAGGTGGAGGATGACAAATTGTGTAGTGCGTGCCTTGTGACAGGCTGGGCAGAGGCGGTGCACAGTCCACGGTGCAAAGGACCTTGGATACTACCTGCTAGCCTGCAGCTGCTTAAGGAGGAAATACAATCAGATATGCATTTTAGGAAAATCACCATGACCAGTGGCATGGAGGTGGTGGGGAGGAAGGCCTGAGCTTGGGCTGGTTAGGCCTGCCTGTCAAGCAGGAGTCCCAGAGGGAGTAAGAGGGGTCTGGGGTGGAGGAGGGGCAGAAGACAGAGCAACTGGCTGGAGGCCAGTCCTGGACTGGAAAGGCAGGGAGAGTACAGGCTTGCGCTGTGGGCAGAAGTGCTGCTGTGGGCAGGAGATGA